CCACCATGGCTACCGCGGACGTCGTCCCACGGCGCGAGCACGGTGTGAGAGCGGCCGAGCACGCACGCATCACGCCCAGCTGGCTCCGGCGCACCATAGACGGCATGCAGGCGAAGCGAGTAGGCTGACGTCGACGGGAATGCGCGGGATTAGCTTGCACGCTCCCATTCCCGGCCTCGCGCGACGTGCGGGCGCATGAATCGCGATACACCGCACGGCCGCGGGCTGGGCTGACGGCGAGAGCGATCATGGCGCGATGGGACAATTAATATTAATCGAGATGGGAAGAGGGAGGGAGACCGCGAAGCGCAGATTGGGCGGAAGAAGACTGACAAACGCGGAGGCGATGCAGCCCGCACTCGCACTAGCACTGCACAGACCCCGCCGTCGTCGGCCGTCGCCGTGGCCAGTCTGCAGCCTCCAGCGCACACCGCGGATCCTGTATGGGGCTCTCCCCTCGGGGGCTGTAGAACCACTCTCCCTAGCGCGAGCTGACGCACCCCCCTTCACGAAATCGAGCAGGCGTGGGCAAGAACGACGGCCCACAACACCGTCCTACGCGGATGCAGCACATGCACCACGCACACCACCCCGCGCCTTCCCTGGGGCTGCGTTCCCTCGGCCTCCCTTTCCTGGGCCTCCAATCTCGCCCTAGTCCGTCCGCAGCTGCAGAGAGTCTGAGAAGTGTGCAGCCTGCCGACCTGCCGAATCGAGCCTCCGTGGTTCTGCTGCCGCGAACGCGCGGGGAATCGTGGTAGGGATCTATAGATGCGCAGATAGGCTGGTGCTAGAAATGATCTGTCACCACCACTAGGCTATCCCAGTACCGCAGCCTCGCACGCGAGCCCTGCGATCCGTGTCTCTTGGTCTGGCCCACCCGCGGATGACTGTAAACCTACCTCGCATTCATGGACGCGCGCTGTGCCTGCTATCGCCTACGCGTGATAGGCATGGAAGCCTCGAAACGTTTAGCTCAAACGTTCAGCGCAGCGCGCGGGTATCGCCGCTGCCACTGACCGTCGAGTGACGGCGAGAGCTCGACTCTCGGAGCGATGGTGGTGGAGACTGGTCGATTTGGTCCTGGGGCGCTCCGCTGTTCCGCGCTGTCGGCCGTCGTCAATGTTGGCGTTACAGATGGACGTACGTACGCGTACGGACACTAGGATGCAGACGCACGCGCGCGGGTGTGACTCATGATGCATGATGCCCTCGAGTGCTCGGTGCATGGTTCGTAATGGCCCGGGCAGAGGCGGAGAGACGGCGAAAAATTCAGGGGGACGAGGCAGATTTCGCGGGGAGATCGTCGAGCTCCAGACGCTGTCGCCCTGCATTTTCGGGACCGCGAGATCCTGACGTGGACAAGGCGAGCCTCGAGGCGTACGACGGAGAAGTAGAATCTTTAACGCCGTCCTCGAAATCGAACGCGCACGGGATGAACATGTGAGCAGAAAATGGAGCGAAACCTTTGTTGAGTGGTAGGCCGATGACAGCCTGGCAGATAGACGAGTGGACATATGGGGTACGTTACTGCAACGTTGATGTGTGCGTGGTGTACACCGAGGGCTCTCCGAGTTTCAGTTTCATGTGTGCTGTGACAACAAACGACGAACAATGGCAGTGAAATGGCAAGAGTGCGAGTCGACAGGCGCCCGAGGAGGACAAACAAGGCCCAACGGGGGCGGGGGCGGGGCCGTGACTCGTCCGTTCCGCTGCGGTCGCGTGTGCTCCCCTCCGACTCGACGTCCTCGCGAATTCTGCCCCCTCGTGACTTCATTGGTGTCCTGCTCTACCCTCTATTGACCGCCCCCGACGATGGCCCCGTTCGACCTCGACGCGTGCATCGAGCAACTGCTGCGCAAACAGCTCCTCCACGAAGCCCTCCTCCGCGAAATATGCGAAAAAACAAAAGAGGTCCTCATGCGCGAGTCCAACGTCGTCCACGTTAGCGCGCCCGTCACCGTCGTCGGCGACATCCACGGGTGAGTCTTCCCTCCTCCCCCTCTCCCGGACGAGAGCGCATAGTGAGACCCTGCCGCTGAAGCCAGTTCTACGACCTCGTCGAAATCTTCCGGATAGGCGGGTACGCACCGCACACAAACTACTTGTTCCTGGGTGCGTCTTCCTTTTCCCCCGCGCGCACGGAGCGCGTGTGCAGGCCATGCAGCTCACAGTGTATGTTTGGTGCGATGCGGATTATGCAATGCGCGATATGGAATGTGGAATGCGCGATGTGGACGGACGGTGCGATGGGAATATGCCATGCGGGATACGGGACATGCGTTACGGGATGCGGATTCTCCATCGCGGGACACCAGGCGACTACGTCGACCGGGGCCTCTTCAGCGTCGAGACCATCTCCCTCCTCACATGCCTCAAGCTGCGCTACCCGGACCGCGTGCAGCTCATCCGCGGCAACCACGAGTCCCGTGCCGTCACCCAAGTCTGTCTGCGCTTCCTCTCTTCCATACCACCACTGACCACAGGCAGACGTACGGGTTCTACACGGAATGCGTGCGCAAGTACGGCTCGTCACACGTGTGGACGTATTTCACAGACATGTTCGATTTCCTCACGCTCTCCGTCGTCATCGACGACAAGATCTTCTGTGTCCACGGCGGTGCGTCCCCCCCCCCTTCTCGCCAGACACCCAGAGTGCGAAAATGACGGCCGGCCTGGGCCCGCACACAGGACTGTCGCCATCAATCCACTCCATCGACCAGATCAAAGTCGTCGACCGGTTTCGAGGTGCGCACACGCGGGCTGTGTCCTTCCCTGCCACTCACGCCGCCGCACGACGCAGAAATCCCACACGAGGGACCCATGGCGGACCTCGTATGGTCCGATCCGGATCCCGAGAAGGAGGACTTTGCCATCTCGCCCCGGTGAGCCGCCCGCCGCGCCCGCCGCACGACTGAGCTGACACCGTGCGACAGCGGCGCGGGGTACACGTTCGGCTCGGGGGTGGTGTACAAGTTCCTCGAGACGAACGGGATGTCGCACATCCTGCGCGCACACCAGCTGTGCATGGAGGGCTACGCGTCGCTCTTCGACAAGCACCTCTCGACGGTGTGGTCCGCGCCGAACTACTGCTACCGCTGCGGGAACTCGGCGAGCATCCTCGAGGTCGGCCCCGGCGAGGCGATGTACTTCAACGTCTTCCAGGCCGCACCCGAGAACGAGCGCGACGGCCCGAGCCAGCAGGCCGCGCAGAACGTGGGCGGGAAGGTGAGCGCCGTGCACGGGCTCGCGTGCGCGGGTGTGTGCTCACCGCGCGGTTCCCCCAGCTCCCGGAATATTTCCTGTAAGTTATGCGTCGTTTGTCCCGCCTGTCCATGTCGGATACCCGCTGCCGCGCAGTCGCAGTCGCAGTCGCAGTCGCGGCAGTCGTTGTTTTCCTGTATCAATCTACCCACCCACCGCATTATCAATAACGTCGCTCCCGTGCTCCGTCCGGCGCCCTGCGTGTGTGCGTGTGCGTGTCCACGTCTATGGTGCCTTGTTCGTCCAGTCCATTGTCCGCCTGCGTGCAGAGCAGAGGGAGCGTGAGGGCTACCGCTGAGTCACGGAGAGGCATCGACGCCGCCAGCGCTGTTTCTCCGCCATCTAGATTCTCCACGCCGTGACCCGTGCCCCTGGGCGGGCCTTCGCCGCCTCAGCGTGGCGGCCAAGGCACACGCGTGCCCCCGCGCGAGGGACGACCGCAAATTTAAAAAAAAACAACGCACCCAGCGGTGAGCCCGAGCCCGCCTCACCGCTGCGTCGACGCAGCGTCCGGCGCGGAGGCTGGGCGAGCGCAGGAGCCGGTGGGGCGCACGGCGCACGCAGAGGAACGGCACCTGCGCGGGGTTGACACGCCACCGCCGCTGCCGCGCTAGCGAGCCCCGACCGAATCGCCAATTGAGAATCGAACTATTGAATATTGAGTGCGCGCACGCACAGCCCGGCCTCGCCGCGCGTGCTGCCCCGCGCCTGCACGCTCGCTCAGCTGATTCGGGCTGCGTTCTGCCCGATCGATGCTCTGCGCACGGGTGATGGCTACGCGGGCGAGTGATCTGGCGCTGCTCCCCGGGGCAGGGCGTTGCCGCGGCCGCTTAGCAGTGCCTTGCAGGGTGCGCGCCCTCAACGGCCGACAGACGTCGGACGAGGGCGACCGGCCTTCCAACAGTTTTTTGATTTTTTCATTTCATTTCAATTCAATGTGGGGGAGGAGGAGGCGCTCGAGCAGGGGACAATCCCGGGGGGGGGAGCAGAAGGGTTGATGTTCGCCGGCATCGGTACCGCGTGGGAGGCCACTCAGGGTGCATATGCCGGTGCAGCGGTTCGCTTACGCTCGTTGCGATCCAATCTGGTGTGCCCCACCTCTGGGCAATGCAGCACCGTTAATCGAGACGGCTGTCCACAAGCAATTTTTTTGCACGGCGCGATGCGTTGTCGCGTGCCTGCTTTCCAACAATGAGTGCATTGGCGCCTTCATCCCCTTGTATCAACGTATCAGTAATCATATACCCCGTCAGCTGTCCAAGCCAATCAATCCCACGTCCCACCCGTTCCAAGGACTTTCGGGCCTTGAATATCGGACTGAAATAGTGTGCGGCCTCCCATGCGCAACACACCAGCCACGCTGAGAAACAACAATGCGTTACGCAACCTGCAGTCTGATAGATAGCATTCAAACCTAGGGAGAAAACGTACATAGTGCGACGACGTACGGGTACATGGACGTAGAAGAAGCGTCAGCATAGCATGGATCATGTCAGATAGAGGATGGTCCATAATGTGACGGCTGCGCACGTCTCGCCCAAACACCGTCGCCTGCACCGAGTCAGATGGGACTAAGATCGTCCCGTCAGCACGCCGCAGATGTGTCAACCGCTTCCATCAACCAACCACGCCGTAGGAACGGCAAGTATATCGATGTCCCGGTACCCCGTCGTGCACTCCACAGCCAGCGCCGGGGGGATGAAGCTATTCGGTAGAACAGTAAGGCGGCAAGGAGAAATAACCCTCTTAGAATGTGGTTCCCCCAGCGCGCCCAAAGCAGGCGCACAAGGGTCCGCAAAAGGTCGCGTTTCCTCCGACGGCCGTGCAGCAAAGTTGGAACTGAAGAAGCGTGAGACACAGGGTAGCCGTAAAATGGATTCCAAGCAGCTGTAGCTGATTGTGATGGACGGATGACCGGCGCCAGCGGCGAATCTGGTTTCAAACATACAGATGGATGGGATTCAGTGGCAGAGGTAGATCCGGATTCTTGGTTGTGGAGATGTGGAGAAGATGGTCGTCGTAAGGGATCGTCCAGCTCGGCAATCGACGGCAGGAGCCCACCCCAGTCTGTTCGCGATATATTCAACACCATCTGTCAGGAGCCAGGTGCGCTAAGAACCTACCAGATGGTAATGCCTCCGGAGGGAAATACTCTAGAAGTCCAGCACGCGACGGGAAAAGAACGCGCGAGAGGACAGAGGATGGGAGCATTCGCCTGGAGATGGTGACATCATCAGCAGCCAGTACGGAGACAGTCACTACGTTCACCCGCTTTACAATGCTCCACATGCTTGATTGTGCCCAGCTGTAATTCAGGATAACAACTTGAATGGCCGTGAATTCAGGGGCATCCGGCAATCGTAAAAATTTTGACGTACCGGCCGCTAACATTCCGGGAAATTTGGGTATCACTTCGTGGATGAACCAGCGGATGAGATCAATCTGTCCCTGGATCCCGTACGTGAGAGGGGTTGATACAAATGCCGAAAAATTTTCATACAAGATTCTTGTACGAAACGCCTTCCATATCAACAATTGCAATATACTGTAAGATCGGCTGGCGCGCTGGTATCTGTTCCACATCACACAAGGAATTGAGCCGCTGGAGATGCAACCGCAGGAGCTCCATACAGCCGACTAGTATGTCCCGACTGTCAACGGAAATTTCAGATATCCCAGACAATCTCAAAAAGACCACTGGCCGCTGCCCGGAAGGATCACGGGCGTTGACGGGAAGGCAGCGTATGAATGACGGACTACGGATAGCCGATTGCGGCAGCACGTTCATCCGCCAGAGTAGCTGTATCCTAATGGATTCAATAGCATAGGGAACAACGAAGTCATGGCGCTGAACAAAGTCCGTGAGTACGAATGAGCGCCAAGGCCGGCCGCAACGATGGACCGAACCTTCAGGACACGGAACATGGATTCTGGGGTAGCTTTAGAAGCAAAAATCACACTCAAGATGAATAAGAACTGACGTGTGTCTTCAAGCCATTGTCTCGCTGACGCTTCATTGTCAGAACTAAGGGAATGTTCCTGCACGAGGTCTGGCAGAACGTTCTCCAAAACTGAGCTTTGTAATTCCAGAACTGTTTGGAAATGGTTCTCGTATAAATCGACCAAATGTTTGTCATGGGACTGCAACAAGTGATAGATGGACATGCGAGCCAAGCATGCGGTAAAAGGTTAGTAGTTCGGAGATTGTGGAGAGTGTAAGTGAGACTACACGGGAAGGTAGTAGGGTCAAGGTCTTTCGCATGTGATTGTGAATTGAAATAATCATGAGACCTGCGCCATACCATTAAGCGCCCAGAGAAACCGTGCTCTCTATTCTCACCCGATCTCAGCAACAACTTCGAAAGTTCGGACCTACCTAATTTCAATGACGTTCTCGTCATAAGCGTGAAAATAGTGCCAACCTTCCTCTTGCAGAAAAATGTCAGATTTGTTCCAATGGTTCCAATCGCAAAATGGTGATGTTGATATAACGTCCCTGACAATTGCCGACATACCCGGCCATGGGCGAGGAGCATTGGCCCTGAAAGACCTACCTGTACGGATGATTTCAAGCCGTATAATAATAATACAAACTAATTCTAAACAGGAAGGGTTTACTTTGTTTACCATACCGCGCGAACTCACACTGTCTACGCGAACCTCGTCGCTCCCGGGTCGCATTGGAAAGCCTGCATGGAAGCATTTTGGGTTGGACAAAGGATGGGTAGGGCTCATATTGTGCATAATGTGGGAGGAAGCACAAGGATCTTCGTCCAAGTGGTCAGGGTATCTGAGTACGTCTTAACTGTCGCTTAGTCCGCATCTCCGCGTCATAATGCCATCTCAGGTTCGCTTCCGTCGTCATTTGATACGCCAATGTTTTGGAACTCTGCGGACCTGCAGGAACTTCAAGGAACTGCTGTGGTAGGTTCGTCTGTCTTGCTTTGATTTTGTCTGAGTGCCTCATCACCGTCGAGATAGACAAGATTGGTAAAGAGCAGGCTGAGCGAGATTACAATGGAAAATTACTCCCGGTGGTGCAGGTAAGAATGACATCCCTCTGTTGATCTATGCCTCTGAACCTATTATCCAGAGTCGTGTAGATCTGTTCCCGCCAGAGTCACTATCTGAACATTATACCCTGCATAGATACCATCTCACGGGAAGCCGTATCCTCTCGAGAAGTTTTCATGTTGAACCATGGATGGGTGGGGACGATGATGTATCTGACGACGGAAGTCAAGGTCCTGATGAAGCCGTGGCAAAAATGGACGTGGATGCAGAACGCAGCGTCGTAGAAACGGGTACAATTCCCGGGAGTTCCGAGACCACAAAAGAGCTCAACGATGAACTTGAAGGACCCACCGACGACGAGGATGATGAAGACGAAGATGCAGACGATCCCGCAGATGTGGCTATGGTTCCGATGGCTGATATGCTGAATGCTAGATTCGGATCCGAGAATGTCCGCCCCTGCTTCTCATTTTTCGCGGACACAAGCTTAAAATATCCATAGGCGAAACTCTTCTATGAAGAGCATCATTTGAAAATGGTGACCACTAAGCCGATCAAAGCAGGAGAACAGATAGTACGTTTTCTTGACACTGCTTCTAGAACACAATTGTCCACGCTACTCTGCTGACTGACACCCCCAGTGGAATACGTATGGAGACCCGCCAAACTCTGATCTGCTCCGCCGATATGGTCATGTCGACCTCGTTCCCCTTGAGCCGCCTCTTGCTGGACTCGGGAATCCAGCGGATATTGTCGAGATCGGCGCGGATTTGGCTGTCTTTGCTGCGAAGAAGGACTCTCCAGAAAAGCTGCAGGACAAGATAGATTGGTGGCTAGAAGTTGCTAATGATGAGTCAGTCAAACTTTATCAGGGCTCGGCTACAAATGCAGCTGACGCGGCATGGCTCTAGCACCTTTGTTATCGGGACGGACTGTCAGCTTCCGGAAGAGTTAGTGTCTTTTGCTCGTCTTCTATTCCTGCCACGAGACGAGTGGGAGAAGGTGCGGCAGAAGAGCAAGCTGCCGAAGCCGAAGATCGATGCTCAGGTGCTTTCTGTCGCGGAGGATGTTCTCAGCCGACGAATCAACGAGTACTCAACTACTATTGAGGTTCGCCTTATTCTTTGTGTCTCGTCCCTTCAGCGGCTCAGAACATCCGTTAGGATGACGAAGCGCTACTAGCGCTCGAGAACGCGCAGCCCTTGTCCCTCAATAAGAAACACGCGCTGATTGTACGGCACGGAGAGAAGCGTATTTTGCATGGTACTCTTCAGCATGTGAACCAGCTGCAGGCACAGGCACAATCTTCCATTGGTGGTAATAACAAAAGGAAGAATAGAGATGGCGCAGAAGTCAGTGGTACAAAGGGAAAGAAAGCGCGGTCATAGGTGGCTGGGCGGCTAACATTTATTTCGCCAAACCACATACAATTGTACGTAGACAACGAATTTGATTGAGATAGAACGCTCGACAAGCGTAACGTCATCGATTCATCTAGGCTACAGCCTCCGAGAGCCGAATTTGTCTCGCCGGGTGTCCGCGCTACATACAGATGGACAGGATAACATTTGACCATCCGACACGGTGTCAACATGTCATCACGCTTGCAGCTTAGCGTCCGTTGGGGATCGCCGGACTGTTGTCAAACTACGTTCGCTGGGGTCATTTGCGGTCAAAGCCATGAGCATTCCAATCCGAAATCAGTCGGAAATGAGAAGGTAAACCCGTTCGTCGGACGGATCTTGTATTCTATGCATTGTTAGAAAGACACCGAAATCATTATGATATTGATACTACCTCAGAATAGACTGACGTTACAATGTATGAAGGTTTAGTTGTCCAATCTCCCCAATTGTACGTCCGTCTTGGCCGCGAAAGTAGCCACCATTGTTCCAATCCCTTGATTGCGGAAATAGGTTGGGCAGGCGTACTGACGACTATGTCAGCGCTGTCGCCCGACGTGATCGTAGCCCACTAACTCCAGGTCAATTAAGGTGTGGGAGAAAGTATGTGAGTAATTTTCCACTCAAAGTGATGAATGTTGGAAATCGTATGCTGGTCAAGTTGGCAAAGTATAAGCGATCGGTATTCACCGACCAGCTGTCATATTTGTTATTCTTCCGCGCCGTATTTCGTAAACGCTTGTGGGACGGGAAGGCCACTGACTGCCTCACTAGTCAAAAACAGTGCGTACATTGACGCTGAGCCTATATTTAATGTTAATTGCCTCTGGGTGACAACTGTGGACGTATTTCCAACTCGCTTGGCCGAATATCATTTGATGGGATACCCTCAGTGAATCTAGTATCTAGAAATACCCTAACTGCTCGCATCTGTTATAAACATCAGAACATATAAACCGATATTGAAATAAAGACCTTCAATAACTTACAAACACTGTTTGCGTTCGAAGGAAACTCATGGAGCTCGAACCGACGAAATGTTGCTGCCGTTGAGCGTGATCACGCTCGAAGTCCAAAATTTTTCAACCAGGTCGGCAATGGCTTGTCGCGATGTACGTTCTCCAGTGAGATCAGCGTTCAGCGCTGGGTATCCTTGAGAGCAACCTTCTAGGACAGCAGCTGAATATCGTTGTTGAGCAATTCACACGATGACGGTGGCAGTTGTCAGAAAACCTTCCAAACGAAAACGACCTCAGTGCGGTCCCCAAATTACGACAGCCTGGGCAAAACACATACCGTCGGCATTCGATTCTCTGGGTCATCATCATAATTGGGCCGCATCTGACAATCTAGGTCTATTACATGCTGAAGGAGCAAGGAAGGATGGACGTATCGCGCCGATAGAATTCTCATGTATTCTGCTCAGTCCAGGCTCGCTGTGATTGATGAGGTGATGAAATTATTGTACTTTGTCCGATGGTGGAAGTTCTGAGCCAGTCCATGATAGGACCCTCGAGAGGGGTATAGCCAACTTCGGTGATGCGGGTAGCCGTCGAACGCCAACATACGTCTTGCCGGCATTGAGCGCTACATGTTATTAATGTAATGGGCAGAAGGGGGAGAAGATCTAGAGCGCAAAAAGTAAACAATTGGGTCATCTTAACGCCAAGATCACAATGAAGGGAGAATTGGTCCGCGTTTGAATTGGTACATCGATTCCCGTCATGCGGTAAGCCAATCGGCTAACTCCTGAAAATGTGTATTGCGATCCTGAGAGTGTAAGAGTCGCTGACAGCCAGGCGGATCAGATAGGACATGCGTCTACAAGCTCATGATTGCTCCATTAGACGGTGCTTATGAGGGAGTAGAGCCACATACACTTTTTGTTTGGTTCGGAGCAAAATACTGACATTTGCTGAGATTGCATGTGACATGATCATCAGAACCTACTGAATGCTAGTATTCAGCATGAATATCGCATAAAAAGTGCGCTGCGCGCAAGTTACAAATGGTGGGTGAAACAATCAATGACAAGACTATGCGCATTCGACGAGGGTCGGCTGACCGCGAATATCGGTTCATTTGCTCTGCAATCTTCCTTTCAATCTTCCATCGACCCTATCGAGAAATACATTCCGGAAGATCCCAGGAATTTCTATAAAAGTCAACGGATAATTAATTCCAGGGACCACGGGTATTGCCAATCAAGGAACATCACGATACAACCGTTCTTATTGGCGCACCCCGCTGAATAACAGGGCTCCATTTGATACCATTCACTGGTGCAATTTCCAGAGGTATTACTTAAAATGACATCATTTTTCGCCTGCTGACTGCCGGAACACAGACAACGTACAGCATCAGCAGCAAGTCTTAATGCACAGGCCGACAGCGATCCGCTATCCTAAAATGCAATAACCACAGTGAGATGATACCGAATCCGCTCACGTTGCGGGAACGTGGATGACAACTCACTTAGTGACGCGTGTGGATTATCAAATTTTGAATGGAACCGATAATCTGACGGCAGCTAGCCTGGACTCAAGATGTCCTCCAACTCACGTAGATTGAATCGACGACAGCCAGTGCAAGTGAAGCGAACAATTCAGTCATACGTCAGTCCCCCAATAGCGGAGACAGCCGTCTGATGCTGACTTCATCAAAGTACTCATCAGCTTCGCCACAGCCTCCAGGGTGCTCGAAATCTTTTGATCGACGAAGCGGGTAGGCATAGAAGTGATTATAGGAGACAAGAGATTGATGTGAAATCTAGGGACTTAATAGCGAATAAAATTAGCCTGTTGAGGTGTTATTCATTACCGCGGAAGTTTGTCCCCGTATGCACTAGACCGACAACATAGATCAGGATTTTTGAATCGATACCCGAGCATGCCCAGGAAAATGGCCGCTTATTGCCCTATTCAAAAGTCCTTAAAGAACCAATGGGCGAGCTTACCGCCCGAGGCTCGTCAACAGTGCACTCGCAGAGGTAGACTTGTCGACAGCGTCACCGCTGCGGTGGACCTAGCTCCACTTCAAGCGCTACCCCGAGGATAGCCCAGATATCGGATACGGAAACAGAATAGGACGGGATTCTGTGGGGATGCGGTGCAGAATCAAGTGGCTAGCGTGCAGCAGTTGTGACCAAAATACTAATTCCATGACAAACAGGAGTTTAAGACCTTGATCCCAATCTTTTGTTTGAAACACCGGCGCAATGTGGAAATCATGGAGCTTGCCTGATCGTCTTCCGTCTAGTTGGGCTACCTGTAATCAATATTTAGTAGAACATGATGCTGCCTCGTACGAAAACTGACATACAACAGAGACTAGCGATCAGGTAAATCCAGGCTTCATTACCTGCTAGGCCAAAAAAGAACAAACATTGATATATAAAAAAGAGATACTTTCCACGAAGATTGAAACCCGGTCGGCCGCTGACACGAAGAGACAGGATTACAAGCGCGACAGTGGTCGGGAGTCTGGCAAAAAATAGTGATATTATATTTAATCCTTTCGTGACGTAGAGACAACTCCACCCGTAAGAGTACTCGGTAGCTCCTGATCTCCAATCGCAGACAAAAGTGCTACAGACCCTCCTACGAGGAGGATGAGCGCGACCACTGTACCTGTTAAAAGCACAAAAGGTCTTTGAAGGAGGCAAAGTAAAATATCCAACGTCAAAGCCAGACCATTCAATTATCAAGCGACTGTACTCACCCACTAACATCCTTTCGCTCGCATGAATTTCCGGCCCATTTCTCTGTGCGTCCCTGCGCGTCCTTTGTTGCCGCACAGGCACAGACAAAACACGTTCTCCCCGCCTTCGTAGCCGAAACGCATTGGCCATGCCCGCTGCAGGAATTCGTTGAGTTCCCGCACACCTCCGCAGAAGTGAAACATGTTGAGACAGCATCAATAGGTTCTGCGGGACCCGCAATGGGAGGGGGAAGCGGGCTCTGTGGTGGCTGAACTTGGGTACCGTCCTGGCGCTTTAGCTGTTTTACAGAATCCGGGATAGTGACAATCGCAAGCTTGAGGTCACGCTTCTCTACAGCGCTCGAGATGAAGCTCCGAATGGTCTCAGATGCGAGGTGGTATTGTTCGCTGTCACGTCCATGTTCCTCGGCGAGCGCAGAGAGCCCATTCAGTTCGAGAGCCGCAAACTTGTCCGTAGAGAATTCGTTGGACTCCAAAAAATCTACAAGTGTTGTCATCTCTGACAGGAATATCTGGCTTGCGGAAGAGGGGACTGAGAATATATCGATGATACGTGGGACAGTGGTTGGTAGAACTGGCTCAGAGAATATTTGGGAGTATGCATGACGTGCGCGGTCGAGATATGCTGGGATGAGAGAGGAGAGAGCAGATGGCGAAGATGCCAATGTCAATGAGAAGGATTCTTTTATGTTGATGGGGATAGCATCTGCGTGGAGGATAGTTATGAAAGCAACGCAATGAGCTCAAACAGCCCATACACACCTTCTGCGGCGTCCTCACTCATGCTAAGAAGCAATGAACTGCTTGGCCCTTGTCCAACGAAAGCTTTCTGGTGGAAGAAAGTATCATCATCTCCCAAAATTTCATGATAGTCCAGCCCGAGATGGCAAGCAAGTGCAGCTCCAGCTTGGGAGATTGAAAGCAATGGAGGAACAGAAGGTTGTGGGTAAAGATATACGTGAACGGCTTCAGACACGCCTGCCAGTAAGAGACATATAGACGCAGTTCTCATGACAAACAGATGAGCAATGCACTGCCGCAGTCTGCTGCAGTACGGTACAGTCGATGGCCTTGAGCCTCCCCTATATTTGTTCATATTTGACCTGTGGCGGGCATACTCTGTAACTGCCCTAACACGTATTGTACTCAAACTTATTCTATACACCTTATCCGAGGCAAATACTATACCGTGCAGTCCGTGGATTTTTGTTCTAAATCCCGCCATCATGTATTATCTCATGTGTAGTTGACTCAGTCTTTCAAACTTGGGAATGCTTGTCGGACTGGTACGCTGACGTGCGCGCGCCTTCTAGCTTCAAGTTCCTCCTGTCGCAGGACGCCTTTCGAGTCTTGGTCCGACTCGGGTCTGGCTGGTGGTGTATCTGCCACGAGACTTACGCGGGACGCAGCTCACCAGAGTGTCAAGCGGCTGACCGGCCAGACATTGACACTCATAATAGCGACGGAAAGCGATCTGTTCATACCTCGAGTTCCATGCTGTACCTCACCTCTAATTGCTTCCATTGACCGATGTAGTAAGATATTACACTCACGCAAATCAAAATATGATGCTATCCAATGCGGTCGCACTGAGAACTGACGTCGAAGAGATTTGTAGTGGCGGTAGCGAATAATCATACCGCCCGAGGAACAATAAGTGGTGAAAAAGTGGCCTAAGGAAGGTCTTCGAAGATACAGTACAATGTCAAAGGATGTCGATTGTTCCCGCTAAAATGTGTCCGCGCGTAGTAACTAGCCACGATTCATAGACGGCCGCACTATCTGCTCTGCTTTAGGTCCTCGCCTAATATTCAATCCGCACAGCTAGCGACTAAGCATATTTCCTGCCATGAGTCACCATCCAGAAGATTGTAGGCCCATCCTAAACGTCACTTACTGCATACCGGGATGTCCCTAAAATTTTACAACCTTCATGGAGGGTGTTGCCGACCGTTTCGGGAACGACCTAATGATCCCAGTGTGCGCACCGACCCTGATGTTAGCCTTCCTTTTCAGACGCTCCTCCGTCTTTTCCGTTCGGTCTACTTCGGCATTTCGACGCTTGAACAGATGGAAATCATCCTCGTCTGCGCCTGCATCGAGGCCCGTTCCCAGGAATAATGCCGCCGAAGCCACCTCTGTGAATCACGATCCAGAGAGATCAGATGAGAACCCCATCGAAGCACGTATTAGATGAAGACGGACCATTCTTTCGAAGAGAACAATTCTTAGCCAAATGTGATGTTTCCCCACAGAGTTTACAGCATCCACCATCTGGATACACTCCCTTCGCTTGGTTCTCCGGACACGATGAAGCCAGATGGCCCTGTCGGGAGCACACAAAGCATGAAGCAAACGGGTGTGGATTTTTCGGATTTGTGAGCTCTTTACATCGCGAAAGATTATGTCTCCGAGAGCCGCACCTGGATACAAAGTTTTTGATTAGTAGATTGTAGGAGAGTCCAGCGTAATTCCAGTCTCCAGACGATGTCGCATTCAACTCGAGAGCACGCACCTATAGCAGATGCCGACTGCATTTTTGCCCACTTTCCTTTGGGGAGTGTCTTCCAACTTTACCCCTCCCTCTCCCTTTTCATCTCTAATCCCACTAGCAATAATCTGAGTGCAATCCCGAGCAGTGTGGCCCATCGCGCGGCAAGCGAAACAGACGGTCTCTGATTCTCGCTGCTCTTTTCGCTTCAGCCGTCGTCTTACCGAGGCCTCTTTCCGTGCCTCTTCGATTGATAACAGAATTTAAGCACCAACCATAATTTTCATGCGCGGAGAGAAGCACGCTTACCCTTATAATTCTTCAACTTCAACGTGCGCTTGTCGTTGGCATCTTTCTTAGTATTTTTGCTTCCGCTACTAGATGCACTTCTGCTTTTTCCGCTTCCTGTTTGTTCCCGTTCATTACGGGGGCCGGCCGTCAACTCGACGGATTCTCCTGGAAGCGAAATTTCACCATCCGTCGCGGTGTCTTCCTTGCTTTTCCTTCGCTTCTGAGGATACAGCCCATCCTCATCTTGCTTTATCTCCATCTCAATCGCATTGTGTTGATTCGCATTGGCCCGGATCTCTTGGACGGTAAGGTCAACCCGGCGTTCTTTGTGATTAAGGCCAGCTTGCAAATACGTTCGTTTGCGCCCGACGTCGGTGTATCTTGTCATGAGGCCTGAATACAACCGGGCTGGCTCTGAGGAGGTCGGGAAGCTAAGACTCAGTCAATCACTGAGAGTAATTCCAGGTCGTCGTCCGAGCCGTCTGCCTTGACGTCACGTGCTGAATCACATTTCATCCCAGTGGGTCCGTGTGGGTCCACCGAATCAGGTCAAAAACATGTCTCATTGAACTTATCTTGAACTATCGTCGTACTTCCGAACAACTACATTCTCACGACGTTGTTGCAGGATTTTCATAAACCACGTGGCCATTCTTGTCGTATCCTACAACGGTATGTATTTTCCTAACGCTCTCCTTCTGCGGCACAATGGGATATTCCGACTCGTTTGAATCCACCAGGTCTACTTTTATGAACCCCTGAGTCGGCACGTCATCCTCTTCCAGTATTGGTTGGACTGACTCAGAGTCGGCTCGAGAAAGAGAACTAACTGCAACTTAACACCCGAAAAACCGGTTGGACGTGGACCACTTCCATAACACTGTCCGCCTTGAAAACATTTTTTTTCGTAAGCTATCTGGATGAGTCTCTACCTCCTGCGATCCTCACACAGAATCAGGTTGTACATATCTATGCTCATCGATCCAAATTTCTACCAACTCTTCCTTTCATAACTAATAACACTTAAGACTCAAGTTGGCAGCGATTGGTGCAGACATGTTATTGAAATCAACATTGCGCCTTTGCCATCAGTGCAATGATGTCTAGTGCGTGTGACTGCTCCATAATGCGCTTTCCCATTTGTGTGTTATGCGACTTTGACGCAGTGAACATCATCTTCTATACTTGTTTTGTCTAGAAAATGTGTTCCAACAGGCACTGCGGGGAATTCATTTCCAGGTTATGCTTAACAGTCTCATGCGCGAACGGTGCATGAGGCATGAGGGATCTACGCCTCAGCATTCTCCACATTTGACTCTGGGCTCCTCATCATTGTCAGTTGTGTTTTTATCACGCGCACTACAGAACGTGCAAAGTGTCCGACCACTATTTCGCGGCGTATAGTATCGGATCCCCAATGTATAGCATTGATAGTTGGGTGGATTGTCAATTAGAGACTATTTCTACAGATTCTTCTCGACTGTATGGGGCATGTACGTCCCTTGTGGGCGTATATGCAGGATCTATCTTTCACTCTGGCTATTCATGCTGTAGGTCTTTATGTCCATCAATACTCCCACGCTTCAGCTGACAATTCGAAATGCAGGGTCAATTCTTGGTTTTACTATGTGAAATTAAGTGGCAGACGAAGCCGAGTTCTACAGCGAGCTCTATCTTGCGATGATCAAAGTAGGTGCGCTTACATTCGCTACAGTTGATTCGCCTGATACAGGGGGGGTGATATTCATCTTGTACAGTGGATAGTTTGATGTTTCCTGTGCATCTTTTGTCCGATTGTTGACCGGTTATATGATCAACTCCCAATACCACGGTAGCCATAGGCTTAGTTGAGGAGGCACAATAGCTTCGATAACGAGGAGGAAGTTAGGTGCAGGTTGTATCTATCCACCATCACATTGTATGACCGCAGTGTCTGATTAGAAACCTTCTCTCTCGCCCCATCTTAGTATGAGGCTCAAGCTTGCCTACTTCATGGGGTCCTTTGCATTCCTGACTGGCACATCCATGACGCTCTGCTTGGGGTCAGGATTGGATCTCAATAGTAATGAACAACGGCAAGGAACCCAACTCAATCAGCACTGATCAATTGCACTTTCAGTCTTCTGGAACTTATATTACACCAGCACGATCCTTTGTTAGCGTAGCATTCGAGATGAGGCTGGCGACTGAAGACCCTCCGAGTATAAACCTTCGATGCTCATATACCTAGCAATCCCCAAATTGCATGTTCCGCGGACAACAAAACGACCCAAAAAACTACATGTTTAGACCATCATATTTAACCTTTCAAGCTAGCTTCCAAGTAACCAAGCTAGCATACACCCATCTTGCGGAAACACGTTCGCCTACTCGGCGTTCGCACCTGGTCCCGCACGTCCATAAGCCCATTCGCTCACCATCACTCCCGCTATGGCGGTCAGAGGTGGAATCCTGAACGGCACCTCTAGCTGATCTCCGGGCATAGTCGATGCGCTGCTGTTGGAACCAGCGTTGTTTTTGATGTGGTCCCTCTCATCCTGCGCATCAGCCATCTTGCGATAATCACGACCACTGAGATGCATTCCCTCATTATGGCTTAAAATCGAGAGCACTTCTTCTCGAGTGTACCAGCGCGCGTCTGGAATCCAGCTGAGTATTGACAAAATAATATAGGCATAACAAATGCACACCATCAAGCTCATTGTCGAGATCTGTCTGTAGCGGCTGCGATGAGTCGGCAGTCGCAAAGAAACCAACCATTAGGCTGGCGGGATATGGCTAGAATTGGCATTAGGGAGGCTCCAACGTACTATCGGAGGAATTGAGAGACACGTACCCACGGCTGACTGGAATGATACTGCACGTCCCACACCTTCACACCAGCTTCTTCCCACATTTCTCGCTTGACCGCATCCTCAAAAGATTCGCCTGGCTCAATGAAGCCCGCCATGGCAGAGTAGAATTTCGCAGGCCAGTTCTTCTGTAATATAAAGTGGGTAAACATTCTCAGAGTTACTCCGAGGTCATCACTGACGTTCCTGCCAAGCAAAACTTTTTCGTTGGCCTCATCTACTATTGCCACAATGACCACGGAGTCAGTCCTTGGGTGGCTGAAGTTGTGCAAGCCCTTCCTATTGAATAGTTAGCGCATTGGGTGAAGTGATATTCACTGAAGTCCACGAACGCAGTAGCACAAGGTTTCTTCCCAGTGTTGTCCGCCCATGGCAGTAGCGAGCTGCAGGATCTCTTCCATCCTGCCCAGTGCGAATACGAGGGAGATCCGCACGACGGGCAGAACTAAACATCATCATGCGGGAGGTTGCGCCTAGTTACCTTTGAACGACGTACCTTGTTGCGGAAATTCCAGTCTACCATGGTCCTAGCCATAGCGAATATGCTCGCATCGAACGCATCGAACATCGCCATCGCGCCCCTTGGTTCCGCGAAGGACAGTTCGGCACCTGCCTTGCCTGCTGCAGAATTCTGCAGCGCAGCGTCTAAGTCGGTTTGTTCAATGCCAGAGACATCTAAGGAGAAAAACGGTGTTCCGCTCAGATTGGCGAGCACAGTGCTCACGTCGCTCTTGCCACTGAATTCCGATGAGGGAAGAGCTTGGGCGCCAACCATAGAATCCGGTTCATGCAGACCTAGAAAAACAACAGGAGGCCCATGGAGGCGGGAACCCTCCAAGAGTAGCACATCGTTTGAAGCATGCTCTCCCTTCGCTTGACCCTGCCCGAAGAATGGAGCTGATCCGAGCAACGGCTTTACATCAGCCGTTGTAAGCCGTGCTAGCGATGGCGACTTGGTACTGGGCATAGTCGCCATCAAGGGCTGACCTCCTTGGAAGACGAGCCATTGCGAGTTGGAAGAGGGGACAACTGAATTCAGGAACGATTGGTATGTTCTCAGCCAAGAAAGCCGGTTCAAGGGCGATCCGCCAAAAAAGTTGACAACACTGACGTGGAGCTTCAAAAACTCTATGCTACTTGAACAAGTAGTTGAATTGCTCACTTTTTCGCCATCCTCTGATACCTTCTCTGCTTAGTGACTAGTAGTTGTTCGAATGGGCAGGTACAACGAACGAATGCCGAGGAAGTTGAAAGAGCAGTCAAGTCTAGGAAAGTCAGCTGCGCTCAGCTGAAGTATATAACCTCATCTCCGTGTGCAAAATCGTTCATGCAGCAGAACTCTCCAGGAAGATGTCGGACTCTGGTCAACCGGCATGCATATCTGGTGTGGCCCGGAGAGGAAGGGAACCCGTTGGATGTGAACCGTGCCGGAGCGGTACGAACCACTAAAGCGCGTGACGGGTAGTGTGTGCTTGCCTCGGGCATGCTCGGGATCGATGGGTCATTCAGTGCAACCATTACCTTCGGACAACGCGAGAACAGGCTCAGGTGCCTTGCAGGTGTCCACTAAAGCTCACCAGTGAGAACACAAGGAGACGAATCGGTCGAGATTCGTCCGATCGAATTTGGAATGCGTCAATTATGAGAAACCGCATTTACCCGAATTATATCTACCAAGTCTCCCAGCAATGCTCACGATATCTGTAGTCATTTGATAAAGGAAAGTAGAGCCGCAAATATCTAAACTCTAGATCTTGGACAGGGACTCCCGGACGAACGCTCAATGCCCAACCGCCGCTGGGGGACCAATCAGCGCGCATGACGCGTTAAGTCTTCCACCGCACATCCACAGCTGCATCTACTTACAGCGGTTAGAGATGACCTTTGAATGATCCAGGCCCCGCACGTCGGTGAGCCCATTCACTAATCAGCACGCCTGCGATGGCTGTGACTGGTGGGATCTTGAACGGTACTTCAGATAGAGGATCAACCGCTGTCGCTCTGTCGCCCTCGCCGCTTTGTACAGCGTCCCCGGCTAAAGCGTTTGCAGTAGACACCTTCTTCACAGTATGGTCTCGCTCTTCCTGTGCAGCCGCAAGTTTGCGGTGGTCCCTGTTCGTGATATTTGTCCCATCTGCATGATTGAGGATAGCTAGAATTTCTTCGCGGGTGCACCATCTGGCATCTAAGATGGATTAGTCATTGCTTTTATGAGATCGCGGGAGATTAGTCGAAATACCGTCGAGCTCATTGTCGAGATCTGTTCGCAGCGGCTGAGACGAATCCGCAGTGGCATAGAAGCCTACCATGAGGTTAGCTGGATAAGGCTAGAGTGATGTGTCAAACAATTGAACCGTCACATTCAACCACAAACTAACATACCCAGGGCTGTGTCGAGTGGTACTGAACATTCCACACTTTAACACCTGCTTCTTCATAAATTTCGCGCTTGACCGCATCCTCGAACGATTCGCCAGGTTCAATGAACCCAGCAAGAGCCGAATAGAACTTCCCGGGCCATTTTTTCTGCGGTACATCCAGGATCATTTAGGATACACTAAGCCATCCTAGAACAAATTTGACCTACGTTTCTGCCAAGCAACACCTTGTCTCCTGATTCATTAATCACAGCCATAATAACGACGGCATCCGTTCTCGGATGGGAGAAATTGTGAAGGCCCTTCCTATATTAGACGTCATCAATGTTAGGACCGAGCAAGACTGTTCAGGAACATGAATACGAACGCCGTAGGGCAGGGCGTCTTACCATCGTTATTTGCCCATGTCAGAAGAGATGTGCAGGACAGCTTCCATCCTGCCCACAGGGAATAGACGGGAGAACCACATGCCGAGCAGAACTAGTTTCGAGTGACACATGGTTAAAATATAAAACGTGATCTGTAGGAGGCCATACCTTATTGCGCGTGTTCCAGTCAATCATACTTCTAGCTTCCGCGAATATACTCGCTTCGAAAGCATCAAGGGCACCCATCGCAGCACGCGGCTCAGAAAATGTAAATTCTGCTCCGGTCCTGCTTGCCTCAGACTTCTGCAAAATCTCGTCGAGTTTTGCTTGGTCGATACCAGTCAAATCGAGAGAAAAGTAGGGCGTGCCCTTCAGGTTGGATATCACTGTAGCGATATCGCCCTTTGCGCTGAAATCGGACGAGGGTAATGCATTTGCCTCGCCAGTTTGCGGCTCATGCAAGCCCAGAAAGCCTACTGGAGGGCCATGGAAGCGAGCAGCCTCCAGAGTCAACACATCCGTCGGAGCATGGTCGCCTGGGTTTTGTCCTTGCGAAAAGAAAGGCTCCGGACCTAAAAAGGGCCTTACGTCCGTAGATGTGAGTCGGGCAAGCGATCGTTTGGCGGAACTGGGTTCGGAGATGAGCAACGGTTGTCCAGTCTGAAAAATGACCCATCGGGTTGCAGATGCAACGGCGATAGCATTCAGAAAGTTATGCGAGGTCCGCAGCCAGGAGAGGCGATTCAACGGCGAGCCGCCAAGGAAGTTGACATAACTGCGATCCAGCCGCCAGAGCAAGCATCAGCCCTGTTCATGAATCATGATTGTCGTGCACCCACGTTTCGGCCATTCTGTACCCCAGATTCCAAGACGTGCAAGCAGCGGGCAAGTGATGCGAATGTGGGGATGTAGGGACAACGAGGCAAAGTGAGCGTTCGTCCGGAGACGGGGAACGGAGATATTCTCACTGTCCGAGCCCATGCTTACTCACTCCCGGCACCACCATCCAGGACCATCACCACGCTACAAACGGGAGATATGGCGGTGCCCGGTCAGCAGATTCCTGGCGACCTAAGAAGTGCTCAAGATAGGCCGAACTGACGACGGTGCCAGGGAGAGTCAGAGAACCGATACCTTGCTTGGTCTGCGTGTCCGCGCTTCGCCTTCGCGCCTGTCACACTGCCGTACACCCCGACCTCAGGCCACTCGTGCTGTTCCTGGCCGCTAATGATTACGCTACAAATCCCTCGGTAGCCAGACTTTCCACTCGGGCCCATATCTGCTGTACAATGGTCTTGCTCGTGGTGCTAGGCGACACTAAGTTACGGGAACCCTCAGGTCCGCGCTCACAGCGTGCAGAACACGCAGCACACCGGCGTTACACAAGAATCAAACTCGGACTCATTCAATCAAATGCTTCTGGCCCTCGCGCATTGTGCGTCGTTACGAACAATGCGTATCTTTGGCGTGGATAACGTTGCGAAGATACACGTAGGAAATGAATATGGCACCGCACCGATCATTTCACCCAGCCAGAGTCTGCGTCCACTGTCTGAATCATTGGGTCCCCCATTGTCTCCCAGATTTGGCTTGTGTGTGCTTGTGCCTGTGGATATATTTAAAGACGACCCCAGCATCCGTACCTGCACGCAATGTCTTACCTCGCTTGGCCTGCTAAAGTGCGTTGAGATTGCCGATTTGCAATTGTACACACTTTTGACTACTCCGCAGCCGATTTTGCCTGGAGATTCTGTTCTCGAGGACAAAGCGACGTTCGTACCGTTTGTTCTTCGCTCGTCTCGGCCCTGCAAAGCGGATAAAGCCTGTCAGATAATAATCATGAGGGCCTTGCGCATGAGCATCAGCCTTCCACGGCCCCTTCATGTTTCCTTTTTTGGCATCACAATGCGACTTCAACCTGTCTCATTACGGTATTCCGTATGTACTCTCTATGCTGATTTCTGCGCAATAGTTGTACACGCCGCGATGTCATGCGATCTCCGTGGCGTAGGCGGAACTCAAAGCTCGTCTTATATAAAACCGAACCTTGCGCCCGCTGCTACCCATGTAATGACCCCCTCACGACCCTCGTACGTTCCGCTCTTCGATCCCTATCTATCGGAGTGCCTTCGTTCTCACCCCGTATCGCAGATGGCATCTGACGCTCCTTCGAAACTATCTCGCCGCCGCACCGAACCCGACGTGCCGTCTCCGCAGTATGTCAATCCCGCACAGGCCATCGCAGACGCCTGGAAGAGGGAATCGCCGGAAAGCCAAAAACAATGGCGAATGGCGGACGCGAGGCTGAGGGAGCAATATACAGTCCCTCGACGTTGGCTAGTGGCGAGGAGAACATATGCAGCGAAAATGTAAGGATATGTATTCTGGGACGTATTTATCCGGCGTATCAGTACGTCGAAGGAAAAGGGCCTGCAGCTTTTTGCGGCTCTTTGGGAGGTTGATTCTAATCTTTCGACTTTCGTTTGTTGCATATGCTATTTTATTAGTGACGTTGTGCCATATGCCATTCGCTCCTTGAACCAACCGATGTTGACTTAAATCTTATCTCATCGCTGCTCGTCAAGCGCGCGCGATGATTGGCTCTTTGATTGATGTGCTGGACAATCTGAGATTATCTCTCTACTTAGCCCGAGTCACAAAACAGTTTGCCGCGTCCTTCCAGCTCGTCTCCAGCGACCTCTTCCTCTGGTTGTTTTTGTGTGATACACTCTTTAACGTCTGCCACTAGCCCGTCTCGCCATGTCGAAGACAGTGATTGACCTGACCGCAGGGACTGCAGGAGGAATCGCGCAGGTATGTAGCTACTGAATCGTGTATTGGGGCTGTTTATAAACATATATTGCATTGCAGGTGCTCGTTGGGCAGCCATTTGATATCGTCAAAGTGGTATGGATGCAACACGTATCGCTCTGGAAGTTGGACTATGTGATAAACCTATTCTCTCGACTCTCCAGCGAATGCAAACGGCTCCAAAAGGAACTTACAGCGGAATGCTGCACTGCGCGGGAGGTATTCTGAAGAACGAAGGTCCTTTGGCTTTTTATAAGGTATGTGGATTTATGATTCCCTAGCAACTATTCTAGTGTTCATGAAATACGTTATCTGTATAGGGCACCTTGACGCCTCTGTTAGGCATCGGTGTCTGCGTCTCGATCCAGTTCGGCGCCCTGGAGTCGTCAAAACGCTTTTTCGCTAAGAGAAATATCGAGAGAGGCATAGGCGGTCCTGATGGGTTGTCATTAAGTAGCGGGCAACTATTCGCAGCCGGTGTGGCTGCGGGAGTTGCCAACGGTGTTGTATCAGGCCCTGTAGAACATATTCGTATACGTGCGTCCACGTCTACTTTACTCTTTTCTTGATGGCTTCAATCCTGATGATACGTCATTCTTCTAACATAGGTTTGCAAACGCAATCCGCGACCAATCCTGCATTCGCAGGACCCTGGGACGCAATAAAAAAGATCTACTCGTCATATGGTATTGCAGGGATCTACAAGGGCCAAGCTGTCACACTCTGGCGTGAATCTGTTGGCTACGGCATCTATTTCCTGGCATACGAGAAGCTCATGCAACATGAAATGGCTAGTAAAGGTATCCGGCGCGACCAGGTGAATCCTGCGCGCACTGTCCTTTTCGGTGCCGCGGCAGGGTATGCGGTATGTCCGCGTTGTTTCCCCGAGAACATCTACTTCATTGCTTGTGACTCTAGCTTTGGGCGGTGATATACCCCATAGACATGATAAAATCACGTATGCAGACCGACGGCTTCTCTCCCGCGGACGGCCAAAAATACAAGTCGACCTTGGATTGCGTGCGTACCGTATGGCGAACAGAGGGTATCGGTGCGTTCACTCGCGGTCTTGGACCTACTTTGATTCGGTACGTGTCTAATACTGCAGATGTATCGTTCCCGACTTGTCTGAGACATACGGCTATTCGCTTTGTTGCAGATCGCCCTTTGCCAACGGGGCGACATTCTTAGGCTTCGAGATGGCCATGAGGTTCCTCAAACCATCAAATTGACCATGACTATTCTACACAGCAAGGAGAAGTAGCATACATCTACTAATAATCTAGAATTTTAAAATGTGAGCTTAGAGCGTTGGAGTTTGGTTAAACTGGTTGATTTTTCGACTGCCATCTGAACGAATAAAACGTCAGCTACATAAATATGCCTTGCCCCGTCGACGCGATAATTTTCAATGTGGGATCCAACGGCACTCGTACGTATGATGTTGTCTTGTCCACGACATGCACATGCGGTAAGGAAGCCCATGGATTCAATAACGAACACGAGAAGATTTGTTATGTGATCACGTACTATACCTGTAGGCACTACATTCCTATATATTGACTTTGTAACTCAGAACGCCCCCTGGGCACAGTGTAGTACATTGTCAATGCTAGATATATATATAGTGTATACGCTGATCAGTGATGCAACGTTATCCTGAATCTTGTGTCATAGGTATTGAGTGTCAGATTTTGACCTGATGAATGTCTCCCGTTTATGTCTTGAAATATGACGATAGAAATTGATCAAGCAAGTGAATACACATACAAGTAATATATTTACAATTGCATCCTAATATCCTACACGGCGAAACAGTTACAGTACACTCTTAAGGATGGAGTCGCCCTCAACGAGGATGCAAGGACCTCCGTAGATTGCCTTATCCTCGAATCCGTTCTCCTTGATATATCTAATGACAGCCTCGTCTTCCGCTCCTGGTTGCAGCCAGACAGCAGGGATATTCAACGTCTTTGCCTGCTCAAGCAAGCTCAAAGTGATCTAGACGAAGCCACAACATCACTTGAGATGTAAATGCTGTAGAGTTTACTGTAACTTACCTTAGGATTTGTGATAATGCTGACAGATGTCTCTGATGGACTGGGAAGATCGACGAGCGAACGTACAACCTGGACCCCCTCTAATTCATCCTCTTTCTGCGCGTCCCCCAAAGGGAGTCAGTGTCTGAGATGAAGAAACTTTCAGAGCGAGACTGGCTAACAGGGTGAACAGGCGTAACAGCTTTGTCTCGCGCGAGGTACCATTGAAGGACCTGGTTATCGGTGAGTTACACAATGTTCGTTTTAAAGAAACACGAGTGGACACACCTTCGTTCCCCACTTTGACTGGTCCTTGGACGCACCTACGACAGCATACTTAGATGAGGATAAGAATTTCCGTTTCACTTCTGCATCTGCCATGATGATATTTGTATATGTCGCCGAAGAGGTGAATATGGTGCAAAACTCACCGCGCAACTGGCGGCTTTATCAATGAGGTAAGATAGCTCTATCAGCAAGTCACGCAACTCGAACTGCGGACATAAGGGGATAGCTAGTCATGAATCGCCATCTAGTGAACGCTCCATAAATACGAATTAAAGGTCCTCGCTGATGCATGCGACGGGGTGCGTGCAATATGTCGACAGCCTTACGGAATCGAGAGCTGTCCTCGCTGAGATTTCTTGTAAGGCATGTGACTTAAATGGCCCGTGCGCCAACTGACAGCATATATAAGGCGGTCCCGCACATTGCATTTCTTCATACTTACCTTGATGGCACAAGCCCCTTCATGTACCCGGGTTTGTGGGCTATAGGGGCCTCTCATAGTACGGCGACCATGTCCTCAGGGGGAACCTGTGGTTTGTATGGGCTCCGGCTCATGCACCGTCTCAATATTTTCCTGTCCCACTTCGGCCCTCGGGCTGGGTGGGCCTTATTTTTTGTCCCTTTGCTGTCATAACCCTAACCCCATGGCAAGTGAAAGTAAATTCTTTTGTCTGTTCTTCGCTGCGATTATACCCGATAATCCCTCCTTATCCAAATGTATGTTAGCTCCAGCATTCTTTTGAGTGTAGTGCGGTTGCCTTGTTTGTATATAAGATGCGGCCAAAGGATGAGCTCATTAGAAGCTACAGTGATCTGGAGAGCACCCTTGGTCTGACAGTTACTCTGAGTCTGACCTTCATCATTGTGGCCGGGCCCCTTCTAACATAACCTTTACCTGTCTGCAGCGGGGTTGTCCTCTGTTCACCGGTAATGGACTCGGTGGACTTTCTATCGATGCCTGGCCTGCATATACTGTCATGGATACATTTCCCAGAGCGTTCAGTTGCTCGGCACATTCTCTATGGTGTGATCATTGGAGTCTCACTGTCGTTGACATCAACTTCACTGGTGGCATACTATCAAGAGCGCAAGAGGCTACGTGCCACTAGGCAATTCAATCTGCGTCCAATTGAGCTTCGGGGCGACGAGATTATTAAAGGAGTTACTGGTCTCATTGGTGTGTAATTTGTTTGTTTGGAATAATCTGCTCGATGCTGCATAGAAGCACCCAAACATTATAGGAAATACTCCATTGGTGAGAATCAACTCTTTGAGTGACGCTTTAGGTGTAGAGATCTTAGGGAAAGCTGAAGTGAGTCTTGTACCTACCTGCCGTATTTGCTTTTCGGGTATTCAGCAGCTAGGTAGTTCCTAAATCCTGGAGGGAGTGTGAAGGACCGAGTCGCTGTGCAGAGTGAGTATATGCGCCTAGCCAACCGTATAAATACAGCTGAATTATATACTGGCCATCTATAGTGATTGATGACGCCGAACGTCAAGGTCTGCTGCGCCCACATACCGGTTCTAGAATTTTTGAGGGAACAGTGGGCTCTACCGGGATATCTATAGCTACTGTAGCCAGGGCTAGGTAGGTGTCAATGATTTCGTCGAAACTAGCACGTTTGATCAGCAGACACGCAGGGGATATGAAGCGAGTATGTATCTTCCTTGTTTAAACTGACATACAGACATTTTGATATTTGTCAACAGCTATTATCATGCCAGACGACGTTGCAGAAGAGAAGGTGAAGGCATTGCGCGCTCTCGGCGCCGATGTGGAACGAGTCAGACCTGCCAGCATTGTTGACAAGAAACAGGTGCGCGTCCCGTTCCATTATGTGTCTTGATTGGAAGATGGGATGAGCTCAATCATTCTGATTTCATTTACATGAGTTTGTTGTGCGTATCGCGCATATTTTTGCTGTAAGTAGTACTAAGTACATTTGAACAAATCTGCTATGATAGAATTTGGCACGAGAGCGGGCCAAATATTTCGGGTTGGAAAACGGGCCGACAGACCACCTGCCCCGCGCCCACTTGCTACCCACTCCGAGTTCTTCGGTTCTAGTGTCCACAGCAGCAACGGATGCGTTAGGAGCAGAGCATTATGTCATGACATCTAATGACGAAGAAAACTTTAGGACTGGACCGCGCGGTTTTTTCGCAGACCAGTTTGAGGTACTTATTCTGTGTTACGCCAAAGGCTTGTCCACGTATTGAACTTGGGTAGAACAGGAGTAATTACGAAGCGCATTTTGACGGCACGGGCCCAGAGATCTGGAGACAGACGAATGGGAAAATTGATGCCTTCGTATCTGGCGCAGGTAACTCAAGCAGACACGTAGTATGAGGAATTGCTGAGAAGATCTGTACACAGGTACGGGAGGAACCATCGCTGGGACGGGCCAATTCCTGAAATCAATGAACGAGGACATCATTGTCGCCCTATCCGATCCCGACGGTAGTGGACTGTATAATAAGGTGATAGCGAATACTCATGTCACCTACATTGAGCTGATTTCCGTGAGCAGGTGAAGCACGATGTAATGTTTGATCGAAAAGAGACGGAAGGCACCAAGAGGCGCCACCAGGTAGACACTGTGGTTGAGGGAATGTAAGGCTTTGAGTATCCCCTTGATACACATTGATTACACTTTCACTGCACAGAGGAATCAACAGACTAACAAAGAATATGGAGCTTGCGCTTCCCATCATTGATGATGCTTTCCGGTGAGGGGCCCTCGAGCGTTCGTCAGTTGCACTCGCTCACATCGGACTGGTGCATGATACTATGTCGCCGCCACACACTGCAGGATTACTGATGCGGAAGCTGTCAGCATGTCTCGGTATTTGGTCAAGCACGACGGCTTATTCTTAGGCTCGAGTAGTGCGTGCAACGTAGTCGCATGTGTGAAATTGGTTCAAAAGTTGGGATGGAAAGATGGCCAGTCAATAGTTACGATTTTGTGAGTTTTCATTGACCGGCACTCTGTACTATCCTTCTGACAGTCGGAGTCAAATCAGATGCGATTCCGGAAGTCGGCATTATTCCAAGGTTTGTTGCAGACACCTCCTTCTCACTCAATTGACGTGCAATCTTGCTGTGTTTCTAGTTCTGGTGCGTAGACTCGTTAAATGCTTCTTTCGACTCGACTCGAAAATGTTATCAGGAATGACGACTATCTGCGTCGCGCCCAAATCCCCATTGACGTTCGGATCGTGGAGGAGATACTCGTGCAGCCCCCATCGAATATATAACCACCTAAGTGGTCCGATATACCCAAAGGAACCACTTGATAGATCACTGTCATGCCGTCTAGTATACAGAATGCGAGGAAGGGGTATTCAGACTAATGATACAGTGGTGTAGACGATAAAAATTAACTGTTCATACCAAAGGCCAACGGAGTTGACGTCGTGTGAGCATTAACCAGATACATGCGGCACTGAAGAGCTACTAGCAGATGGGAAAGGCGCATGAGGCATGGCAAGCGGGGCTGTAGTGAAAGGTGGTGGTCGGGGCGAAACTCGAAGCTGAGAATCCTTGCTCGGAGAGGCACTTAGAGTAGGCGTTGCTGATGGCCTACGGAGAGTCGCAATTGGTCTGAATGTGACAACAATGACATGAGCACACTCACCTGTCCGGGAGTGTAGGTGGAGGCTCGGCGGCACCAACTTTGAGGAAGCCAGCCTGGACTAGGAAGTCCCAAACTCTGCTGGTCTTGTTGACATCTATCTTGACCAGATCTCGAGCTTCACGCCGGCGTAATTTGCCCCCACGTCGCGCATACTCTCGGACAAGGGTCTCCTTGATGACTAGATATGGCTTGGGGAGGATGCGCAGTTGTGAGCAAAGTGTCTGTTCCTCTGGCGTGAGGAGATGCAGTGAGGGACTATTCGCAAGGTTGAGTGGTGCAGCTGTATGAAGTCAGGCGCTGAACAAATAAAAGTGACGAGTTTGACGTACGCATCTTCCTCCCGGGAGGGCCAGTACCCGATATGTTCGGAGTTGTTGAACCGGCCTTCGGCGTCATCTCTCGCTCATGACTCTTTCCGCGTTCTGTACGTGGATCGGCAGAGGATTGACGTCCAGAGCCTGCCCGCAGCTGGAACCTTTCTGAAGAGTAATAATCACGAGTGAGGTTGGCCTTGACTTGAGACTGTACGAGCAATCAGTACACACAACGCGGATGACAGGCAAAGCCATAAACGTACTCGTTTCGCCACATCCGCCTCGTATTTGTCTATGTCCGCAGCGGTTGTCAGACCCATCCTGCGATAGTGTTGAAGTTCCTGTATCCGTTTTCTAAGCAGGGATTCGTCTAGTCCGGCAGTGTCAACTTCCGCAAAGGATAATGAAGCTCATTCGACATACAAAGAATGTCAGCACAAAAAACCTCAAAATCCTCTGCGGTTTGCAGGCGAGCAAAAGGACGTAGACGATGTATAATGTCCTTCTCCTCCTTGGGTCGTTTCTTTTCAGCTGCCTGCATTTGCCTGTAGTTTAAGAGTCCTCTATTGAACATAATTCCCTTGTTCTCGTGGCGCTTTTCGACTCGCTGATTGTACATCTCAATGAACGATAGCTTGAACGCAAGCGATTCGGACGTCTCGATTGGTGGAGGTTGCGTCAGTTCTTCAACATCGGTCTCCTCATCTGCTCCACCATTCTGAGGCCTGGCGTCCTCGGATTTGCTCCGTAGATCTCGTGTTGGTGTGTCGCCATTCGAATGATGTCCGTTGATTAATCCATTTAACAATCCATTAGGAAGATGTTTTCCGGAGATGGAAGTTTTGGACTTCTGCTCCTCCTCCCAGCGAGCTCTTGCACGGACATCCGGGTCATTCTCGTCCTCTAGGATTTGATCGCCTTCCCACTCTAGGCAGATGCCAAACTCAAGATCTTTGACAAGATCTTCGGCTTCATTGTCAAGCTCATGCTCGAATTCAAGCCGTCCAGGAAGGAACGTGGCAACTTCATGAACGTTAGGCGCAGAAGTGGGCGCTGTCTTGGGCGCAGGAGGCGGATTCGTGTTCATAGTTGAAATACGTCGACGTTTGTGCTCTTGGAATTCGGCAGGGTCTATATTAAAATGTTGATCCATACGCTGCGAGAGGTCAGTCGCGAGAGAGATTCCCTGCACAAAATAGATACTTACGGGAAGTGGCCAGTCGGATGAATCTATATATACAATTTTGTAATGCTCTTCGACCTCCTCCTTCGTACGGGTACCAACGTGCTCCGCAATTGCTTGCCAATTACCGAGACCTTGCAAGGAAATACCCTCTAAAAGTAGCAGCTCCCTTATTACATAGCTTAAGTATATCCGCTCATATGCACTGTCAGCAAAGCGACTCACTCGTCTGCTCCCCAGTCCTCAGTAAAGATAGGATATGAATGTAGCTCCTGCGATCATAGATTATGTGAATCCACAAAACCAATTGCAGTCATTGATACTTACTACAACCCGGTACGCATGCCATCGTTTGTGTTTGGCGAACTCCTTGCCGTTGCAAAAACATGTTGGACATATGTCGACTCCGTCTCCAGGCTCGCAGGCTGAATCTGCGCACTTGATACGAATCGAATGTGTGAGGTCACAAAGACAGCCATCACACTGAATCTGAAGACCAGGTTCGTTGACCGCTATATTTTTACGTAAGATTGATGCGTGAGAAACGGGAACCCAGCTGCAGAAGATTGAACAAGGCATACTTTGGATTTCTTCAGGCTGATACTGCCTCTTGCGGTGAGTGACAGTCATATTTCATTAATTCAGCAAGGAGGGAGGGCTAGATATTCGAGTTTGGGCCAAGATATATTGGCTGTGGCTTCAGCGTGGCGCGCCGGCCGAAGTCGTCGAAAAGACTGGCGGCAAACCACTCCCGTCGTTTGCCTATGCCTGTATCAAGGTATTTATGACTGATTATGAAGTAGGGTTAAGCAAAGGAGGACAATAAGCGTAGTCGATTTTGGATAGACTGGCCGAGGACGTCGATGACAACAAGGCGGCAGCCACATCCACAACACAACCAAGCAATGCGCCCCGATATCTACAACGGGTAAGACCGCGCGGTGCAACATCCATTCGAAGTTACATAAGTAGAACTGCACTGCAGCATATGGAACATATTTTCAGTGGAAATACTACGAAATAATTGTGGATAATCACAAAGAATTGAAATCAATAATGCTCTCAAAAAACTCAGAAAATACCCAAGCTGAATTTCAGGTGGAAATACCCTTTGATGCTTGGAGTCGAGTGGCAAAATTGCAACATTGCCGTGCATAGACTTGTCTGTCAAGTAGCTTATTAATTGGTCACGCGCCACAGCGTCTTTACGGATGGTAGGTGTCCGCTACCGGTGGCACTTGGCTTGTAGCATTCGCGCTTGGACTGAAGTCCTGTCTTGTATTAGTGCAGGCTCCAACACTTGCTACAACAATGAACGGAACGCATTCACCATCGCCCCCGCCGGCGGGAGGCCGCTCTATTGATATCGAGCTCGGTAGCCATGAAGTTATCAACATCGAACTGGACGGACTTGACCCGAATCCGGAAGACCTTCTGGACTTGCTCAGGGAGGGAGAATGTAAAGTGTGGATATGGTCGCGTCTTGCATCCGAATACTGGCGGAGGGGTTGGCTAGATGCAGCAGAAAAGATTGCACAGACGGCCATTGAATGTACGTTCCTTGCCTGGCTGCTGTGCAATTAGGCTCATCGTGTCCAAGCCCTTCAGGCCAATGGTGTTGGTGCACAACTTCCTCCAATATATGCTCTACTGGCAAATGTACAAATTGCTCGCGCCAGTAAAGCACCGAAGTTGATCTTGCAAGACGCCCGTGAGCTGTTGCCCTCTATAACTTAGGATTTAAGTTTAGACGCAAGTATACTTTTGTAGGGGAGGATGTTATGACCACTGAGAGATCCAGAGATGAACATTTCAAGGATGCGGCGCAGTATTTCAACTCTGGAGAGAAGCTTGCGGCGGACTCTGGCGAAGTTGGCACTTTGTTAGCGGTCTTAACCCGCGGTGTACTGCAGATGGGGACAAGGGCTATGGATGATGCTCTACGCTCGTTCGATGGCGTGCTCTCGCAAAAGCCCACTAATGCGGTCGCGCTTTTAGGCAAAGCGAAGATTCTATATGCACGACGTCAATTCGCCCAAGCATTGAAACTTTTCCAAACAGTCTTAAAGTTGAACCCTAACTGTCTCCCCGATCCCCGCATCGGTATTGGCCTATGCTTGTGGGCTATGGATTATAAGGCTAAGGCCAAGGCGGCCTGGCAGCGCAGCGCCGAGGTGGTACGCATCAGCCTCATAGCGATTTCGTAAATCTGGCTGAACAAGTCAAATTTCCAGAATCCAAATGAATGGTCTCCACAATTACTTCTTGGTCTGGAGGCTATCAATTCTAGTAGAAATGAGAGCCAGACCCAGGAAGAGCGCAAGAACGAGCTGATTGTTGGCACGCGCTATATTGAACGTGCCTTCAGAGCAAACCAGCGAAATTCGGCGGCTGCTAATGCTCTCTGTGAGCTGTTCCTACAAAAGGGCCAGCATAAAATGGTAGCTGTTTAAGATCAATAAGTTCAAATTGGCAGTGCTGATTGATAAGCATAGGCATTAAAGCTTGCGGAACGCGCTATTCAGTTCACTGACGTCAAAACCATATTAACTGATGGCTACATTCGAGCGGGACGTGTTTCCCATACGGTTGGCTCAACCGTGGAAGCGTCAAAGTATTTCACGAGAGCTAGGGAAGGTCAGCCAACGAGTGTACTGGCAAACATTGGCTTGGCACAGATTCAGATGAAGCATGGTAACTAGATTATTCTGTTCGATGTATTTCTCGTGTTAACCCTATGCAGATGAAATCCCAGCTGCGATACATACCCTGGATAGCTTGCTGCAGCAAAACCACGGTCAGCAGCGACCTGTCGAGGCCATGGTGATGCTCGCTTCCCTTCGTGCTCATCCACGAGTAGGAATGTCCAGTCCGGATCAAGCTGCGGAGAGGCTGCGTGCACGCGATCTCTTTGACCAGGTGTTCAAGGCTCTCGCGCTATCTGAGGATCACCATGCACGTGTAGACAGCTCGCCGAAGATCTCTGGTAGGTCCGCGCGCAAAATTGCCGAAGACATGGACGTGTACATTGAGATGGCCCGGCTATGGCAGGGTGAAAATTTGGAACGGATGGAACGCGCTCTGAAGGAGGCATCGAGGGTTTGCGAGGCCAGCGGAAAAACTGATCCTCGACTCCTGAACAACCTCGCTGTTCTGCAATACTTGGAGGGGAATTTGGAAGCCGCGCGGACAATGTACGAGACCGCTATCACACAAGTAACGACTCTCGACTCGCATATCGTCGAAGGTTTGTCGACGACTATGTTGTATAATCTTGCCAGGACCTACGAGGAGCAGGGAGAAGAGACTATGGCAAAGGAGGCTTATGAGAAACTTTTGGATCGGCATCCAGAATATGTCGATGGTGCGCACTTCACTGAAACGATGAATATATGGCTCATGTGATCTGGCTTAGCGAAATTACGGCAAGCACAAATGTTGTCTAACGTCAGTCGGAACAACGAAGCGCACGAGCTTGTCAAGCAGGCACTGGCATCACAGAACAATAATCTCAACTTGCGCGCCTTCTATACGTATTTCCTCGTCCAATCGCATAACTTCAAACCAGCGAAGGAACTTGTCTTCACCACTCTCCGAGATCACGACAAGCATGATATTTATTCATTATGCGCGGCAGGCTGGATTCAGTACCATCAGGCGCGAGAAAGTCGCGACGCATCTCCCAAAGGTATTGAAGAGCGCAGACGTGGATTCCAACGATCTGCTGAGTTCTACGAGAAAGCTCTCCACCTCGATCCCATGTGTGCCATCGCGGCGCAGGGCTTAGCGATTGTGACGGCTGAGGATGCCTTAGGAAACTTGGGTGGGAGTCTCGCTCCGACTACACAAGACGAGAATCACAGGCGTATCAAGAACGCGCGCGAGGCGCTTGACATATTTGCGAAAGTCAGAGAATCACTCAACGATGGTAGCGTCTACGTGAATATGGGCCATTGCTATTACGCATGCGACGAGTTTGATCGAGCTATTGAGAGTGTAAGGAGGCTTGTTTGATTTTTTCCAATACACACTCACGTCTTCGTGCAGTTCGAGACGGCATCGAAGCGGTATTATGGTGGCCACAATGTTCCTACCCTCCTATACCTGTGCAGGTCCTGGTACTCGAAGGCCAACAAAGACCAATCTTTCAGCGCTATGTGTACCGCATTACAATATGCTCAGAAGGTACAGTACTGCCAAGTTCGATGATTTTGTTGAGGCTCAAACGCTCAAATTTAGGCATACCATTTGCACCCATTTGACAAAGCAACGCTTTATAACATTGCGATGATCCAGCAGAAAGCTGCAGAGATGTTATCATCTGTTCCTCCCGCCAAGCGTTCCCTTAAGGATCTTCAACGGGCTATTGAACAGGCTAGCAATGCGCAGAAGTTAGTGATGTTTTCGTCGCTCAAGTACTCGTTCTTACGGATTGTTAGACTATTCGCGTCTTTGGCAGCGGATAAATCGCCATTAGTCCCGTATAGTCGTGACATGGCTGACCAGCGTCGGAAGTACGGTGACAGCGTGTTGCGGAAATGCGATGAACATCTTGCTGCGCAGAGAACATGGGAAGAGGAGACGCAGGCCAAGATAGAAGCGGCGCGACAAAAGCGACAGCACGAGCGGGAACAGCAGGAAGCGCTTGAGGTACGTGATATCTCTATTCGACCCCATCCGTACTGCTTAACAAATCGCTATTTTCGTACTTTTCACAGCGTCAGCGCGTGGAGGAGCTCAAAAAGCAAGCACAAGTGCTTGCAGAAGAGCGGAGGAAGGCGAGAGAGCAAGCCTTGGAATGGACACGTGATATCAAGATGGAGAGTGACGAGGAGAGAGAGCGCAAAGCGATCAAAAAGGCTAATAGGAAAGTGAAGGCAGAGGTAGGCAGTGGAGATGAAGCATTAGGAGAACCCAAGAAGAAGCGTCGTGGCAAGCTCAAGAGAACTAGTGGCGTTGCAGACGGTGAAGAGGCGTTGTTTAGTGGTGATGAGGAACCAGATAAACCGGCAAAGAAGGTAAGGTCGGTTTCCTTTTACTAATTTAATATCCGTTAATATCTTTACAGCGGCAATCCAAGAAACGTGTCGTGAGAGATGACGATGAGGACGAAGAGGCCGCGGGAGGCCCTCGGAAGAAACAAATGTACGTCACGCAATTTTTATAACTAGGGTCACAAACGACTGACTACGCAATGTACAGTAAAAGTAAAGAGTATATATCGGACTCTGACGAGGAAATGTCGTAATATGCGCCGGTTCTTCTTCTTGCACGACTTACTAATGTTTTCCATCATGTCTGTTGGCTATTTATCTTATGACCATCCTGCTGTATCGATTTAGCTGTGTAATTCCAGATCGCAATACTTACTATGCTCCACATTTCTCGAGGCGCGACTTGGTTTTACGCAAGTTGTACGCCACACCTCGCCGATTACCACACCACATGGAATCTACGAAGTCACGAGGGCACAGGCTGTTCATACCGAGCAGACAGCAATCAAGTGGTGAGTGATCATTTATGACAATCGGATATAGACACTCAGCGGGCTTCTAGTATCTGGTCGAGTGCTTTGACCTCTCAATTCCAAGGCTGTTCTGCCGCAGCTGATCTCATGTCAACGACCGCCATTGCTTTTCCAGAGATAATGCGCTCGTTTCCCACCCATCTCACGCCGGGCCAAGGCCAATGCGGAACGCCATGGTTTATATAGCGTATAAGCAAGGTCGGTGCACAGTGCGTTTCTCTATGTTTTTCCCAACTCTATCTTCGTGGTGGAGTGCTAGCTCTGCCGTCAACGAGCATGCCATCCAAGACGCTATGGAACAGCTCCGTGAGCTCGAGCTTCGGATCGAAGTGCTTTCACCCGTGCTAGACCTCTACCACGCACGGGTGATCGACTACTGGGTGAGCGCGCGCGGCAGTATGTCAACTTCGTCTGGGGATGTTCTGCTCGGACGCGAACTGGCGGACGAACGCTTAGTGCTCATAACCCGCTTCTGGACGATATATGCAGAGCTCATTCTCATTGGGCACAAGGTGTACAAAATACCGTCTGGCGCGAAGCATGCCTGTGAAGCATTTGAGAGGCGAGTTAGATTTGTTGCAGTTGGTGTGGAGTTGGCTGAATCTTGCACTCTCTGTAGATTGATCAATCAGCTCACCGCGTTACGATATCCGCCCCGCCCCATTGATACATTCTCTTAAACTAACCCGAGAAGCGAGAGACTATGGCGTTATGCATAGGTCTTACGCAGCTGCTGTCAACACAAGTTACTCACATTGGCGTTACGGAGTACGTGGCTGGTGGAATGTATCTCTGGACTTTGTCTCTCTCGATTTAATGTCACGGTGCACCTTGGGATTATTGATGTCTTCTGCCTTCTGGTCTGCGATCTCTTCCTATGTCTACGACTTTGCAGGCTATATGATGAATTCTAGTTCTAAGTGTGCGTCTTTCAGTCGGGCGAAGGGCTTCAAGGAGTATAAGTCGTACATTATCTCCCGGCCGATCCAGGTGACATTGCTGCCGCGGCGTGGAGATAATTACCAAGGTTCAACAAATTTTGCCCTATTATATTGTCCAATACCTCGAAAGAACAGGAATATGAAATACTCGTACTTGAAACATAACAGGGCATCAGGACCTCCGGACAATTAGGTAAAGCAATACTATGAAAACAAACAGAGTACGCAAGCACTATCCAGTTTAACCACCGCATGTGCGCATAATAGATGCAGCGTAGAGAATGCAGGTCAGCGTCCGCGTATATTGTACCTGGCCTGCGTCTATCGTGACGCCTCGTTGCCACTCGTGACAGTAAAATTCTATCATGCGAGAACCAACCAACCTGAGAGAGCGGACGCCGTCAATGAGACGAAGACGCTCAGCGAAAGCACGCTTGCGTTCGCGAACGACGTGGCAGATGATCTCGTTGATGTAGTCGTAGAACCTGGCAATGCAAGAAGTGCAAGAAACTTATTAGCGACACATACGCGTACGCTAGGCAATAGCCACTAACTTGAGCCACTGCCGGTCGGTGTTGGAACACCATTTCCTGTAATACTGGCCGTGCCAACTGAGCCAGCGCCGCCTGATGGAGCTGGTGGTTAGATGGGAAATCTCAGTAATCCAGATGACAATAGAAGACGCACTTGAGTTACTGCTTGCGGAACCAGAGAGCTGGGCAAAGCCTACAGACGCGGGGCTCGAACGGAAGACGCTGTAGACATTTTTCTACGATAGGCGCATTCGTCATATACGCCGCGTATCATTATGTCTACGACGTACCAAGAAAGTATCGCCAACGACCCAATTTGGGTTTCCGTCCCCACTCGAGACGGCCGAGCCAATGTCCAAGACAAAAATCCCACCTAAACACTGGTTACCCTGGACTTGTCCGAGATTCATGTCATTTGGGTTGATTGGCCATGACTTCCCACCGAATGAAAGGGTTACGTTGACAGTGGTCGAGCACGCTAAAGCAGTCCGTGAATTTCACAAGTTGATTGACACACACCATATAGTACTTACGGAAGGAGTAGAAGCCGTCGTACTGCCCGCTCAGCGCCTGTGAATTGGGGATAGCGGCAAATATGCTCTGGACAGCGTCTTGTGGCGCGCCGATCAATGTGGTCCCAGTGTCGATCGCTGCAGACGCTGCACTTCCCGTGGCTATGTCAATTGACTGCCCCTGCACGGTTATACTTGACACGGTGAGCAACCAGAACGTCGGCGAAGAGCTGTCCGTGATGTTGAGGAACTCGATATCGCCAGTGAAAAGCGAGCTATTCGTACCGCCCAAGGTGAAAACACCTCCAGGCTCCTCTGCCGTTGCGTTCGCATCGTCGTCAAATCGCGTCAGGTAAAACGACATCTCGGGGCTGGAAAGCTCGTTATTCTTGATCAGAGCCTGCCAGAACGGCAGCGCATCCGTCGAAGCAAGCGCTTCGAAGGCGAGACCCATAATGCCCGTGACATTTCCTGAAAGGAGGCCTGACGAAACCTGGGTACCGACAAGGAACGTCTGCGGGTTGACGTTAAGGCCAGCCATACTAACGGTATCCGACACCAGATCGCCTCTAACAGAGCCACTGCCATACGAGATCTCCACAACAGCCTGGTCTCCAATAACATCCGTCATGTTTTTGAGCGAGGAAGACGCTGTTGGGTTGAATTCTGGGGTATCACCCGGGCATCCAGTACATGAAGTTGAGGCAACCCAGAGGTCTGAAGAACCCGTGTCCATTACGACTGGGAAGTTTTGAGGGGGAGTGCCCACCGATACCATCCCAAGGTAGGACGAATCATAATCCTTAGCGCGGGAATCGGCGGTCAAGCGAGTTCGTCAGTCAGATTCAAAAACAGAGGTAACGATTACAAACTTGGTTTACGAGCGACATGCCCACGGAGGACGCCCTCTTATGATGTCTGGAGACCGGTGGGAAGTTATACTTGAGGCGGATGTTGTCCGCAGCAATCGCGAAGCGCTCCAACGAGGCATCCTTAGACGTCGACCTGCGGACAAGTGGAATATGGAGGGGGTCGGCAGCCGCGAGAGCAGCGAAGGGGAGAGAGAAAAGGAGAGGGAGATGGTGCATGGTGGAGGGGAGGGAGAAGGAGCGATGGCCCTGGCTGTGCCCAGGTGTAGAATATTAATGAGAGGACCATCGGGTGGCGCCCGCCTTGCTTGTTCCTCGGCAGGCGCCATCGGCATCCGCCCGATCATGCATTCTAGGCTTGGATAAGTGATGCTTGCAGACTTACCCGCACAATTCCCTTTTCAGTATCATCCGCCCTAACTGCACCCCGGCCACTCCTTCCTCGTGACTATGATGCCAGCCCAGCGACGCCCGCCATGCGCAGTGTGCTGCGATCGCGAGTCCAAATACACTTGTGCGCAGTGCAGGACTCCATAGTATATCTACTGCCCCTGTGCTGCGCACGCGGAACGCTAACTATCTTTATTAAACAGCTGTTCTCTGGGCTGTTATAACGAGCACAAGGGTGAGGCTTCTCTTGGCAGTTCACACCATTCTCCTTGTCATTCGTTCCGCAGCGACGTCGTGTACTTCAGCCCAGCCCACCATACCTGAGCTTCCTGCCCCTCTTCTCGCCGCTGCGTCAGAACCTGGTAAGTTCCAAATACGCGATCAGCTGTGCGACTGGTGCTTCCTTGGCAAATCAGCAGAAACAAATCGCGCTGGAGAGGGCTCCTTGTCATCTGAAGCCCGTGACCTCCGCCCTCTCACGTCTCTGAGATGGCCGTATGTTCCCGAAGAATCAGCGTACCCAGATCCCTTGAAGCGCGATGACCCGAAGCCGCTACAACTTCACCATTACGAGGCTATAGGTATGCCCCTGACCTTTGCCCAAGTGTCATATCTCTATCTGGGAATGCCTATGGTGGTCGCACGCCGTGTGGTCCTGTACAGTACGCTTCCCTCGTGATCGTGCACTGCCCTCAGGTACCACATCCACAAACTCGCTGGTTTGAGCTGTCAGCGTTCCCTTGCAGACCCAGATCTTGACCTCCCTACAACAGTTCAAAGCAACACAACAGCCCAACAGCTGTCGAAAAAGGCGCCGCCATCGCAGCCACGAACAGCGACCACCCGGCAGGCGTCGTTTCCGGTCATTTTTCATGACCACTATCATATCACGAACGCTCTGCTGATGCTTATCTCCTTCCTGCTTTTTTTTTTACTCTTCCGGGCTTCCCACATCGATAACTCTAATACACTCTCGCAGCGACCTCTCCCGCAATAAGACGCACACTAGCCGCCCATCCCGGCCTGCACGGGCTGCTTCGATCAGTTGACCACCTTCGTGGCGCAGACCGCGAAGAGGCGCTTGAGCGTGCGCTCGGTGTCTCCGCTGCTTCAGGCTCTATGCCGCATGTGATTGCGGGGCTGGGGCAGTCCGACGAAGACGTCCGCGCGTTGCGGGAGCTTGCCGAAACTATCGAGGCGGCTGTGAGAAGCGGGAACCAGAATACGCTAGGGCTTGACTGGGGCGACTGACAGGAGAGGTGTGGGTGTATGGCTATGTCGGCGGCAGAGGAAGGCGGAAGGCGGCACGACACGCGTATTTTGAGCGACTTCCTTAAGGCCGAGACGAACCCGAGTTGTGCTTATTTAATATAATTAACGTGTTGACATGTCCAAATGTTCGGCGGATCTCGGGCTGTCAGACACTTTTTGTGTCGTCACATTGCCCTTCGCAGATGTTGGGCCGCAAGGAACGCGCGATTGTTACTCTGCGCCAAATCAGAAGGGAGATTGAATGGATATGTATAACAAATGTTGGCGACGGGAATACAAGTTACAGTAAGATATACACAATTGTTATTTACACGGCCTCCCTCCGTTTGCCTGCTTTCTTTTCTTCACTGGTCTCCACCTGCCCATATGATTGACTATCACTGAAAGTGTGAGTATTGACAGATGCCGGCCGTGGAACGACGACATGCTCCGTAGGCATGTCACTCTCATCGTCCTCAGCTTTCTGCTTCAAGCTATGATCATTATCGCGATCTGTCCACTCCAGACCGTCAAGAGTATCCAGGGGATCCCCGCCAAAACCGGTCGCATGGAACGACTGCAGAGTCGTGACAGCCCTTATGGTGTCCCCGCTGACACGGTGGTCGTCGTTCCACGCGTGGAAGTGCAGGAAGAGACGTGCGGAAAGCAATCCGGATATTCTGTCGGGTACATGAATGGTGGTCCTTAGGTCAGGAGCATCGAGCGAGGCCCAGAATAAAACGGAGACGTACGGGAGAGTGAGCGCATTCAGTAGACGACCGAGGAATCCATCCTGTGGTGACACGAATACGATATCGTTAGTCGCTATAAGATGCACCGAGCGTGAGATCCGCGTACTGGCGCTTCCTGCGAATAAGAACAGCCAGCCAAGCGGGAGCAATTTTGAAATTATTGTCTCGTAGAAAAAAGGTATTTAAGGAACGTACAAAATTGAGCACAACCGCACTGACAGTGAAGAGGGACACTCCGCCGAAGTACAATAGTCCTGCAATATTTTAGCGCCAGTGCAGCAGTGAAAGAATCCAGCAGGCCAGGATATCACACACCTTCACTCAGTACCAGATACATTATACTATCCATCCACCTCTCCTGTACCTTCAGCGCCTGTACACATCGCAGAGCGGTGATCGTGGTCCCAATCCACTCGAACACGCACACAGCAATGGAAAGCGCGGTGCTTGCTCTGGTGACAGAATCCACTGAGGGAGACGGTGGAGTACGAAATGTCGAAGTACGCACATATGAATCTCGGGAGGCGTGGGTCCAGAGCATCGTGTGCCGGTGACATGCCACTAAGATGATGGGTCATTATTGCGTGGATTTTGCTTGTAAGGAAAGTACGTGCGATATCGAGTGATACACATCCTACGACAAGACTTCCGAGTACCACGAGCACTGATAGCCTTCTTGCGCATACGACGTATGTGCGCATGGTGAAGGTTGCTAGACACGATGTATCAATAAGGTAAATGAAGTCTGAAGTGTTCAAGGTGGTACGTACTGAGGACAGCTGCGCGGCCTGCGACACTAACATAGTCGATGATCGTATACCACAAGTTACAACTGTAGGCCCGTAAGTTCAGTGCACACCGGACAGAAGCAAAGTGGCCGTGATAAAACACACTGAGGGGAGCGTCGAATGTAAGCGCCGCGAGATTCAAGTCATACTCAATGAAGCGCACCTTTTCAAGAATATGGGCGATGGCGAGCAGATAGAGCACGTTTGCGAGGAGAGCATAGCGGCAGAGAATATAGAGGATGGTCGCAAAGTGGAACTTAGCACGCCAAATGTACTTCACCTCTGCAGGGAATGTGAGGACATAGTCATAGTAGAGTAATGCTAAAATACACTTGATCAGCAGCTCAAGAGAAGATGAAGGCTGCAGCTGAGCTGTACCTATGCTCGCATATTGAATGCAGAACTGCACGAGGCTAAAATCACGCCATGAGTGCACTGAAGAAAGATATAAATACTTTCGAAACGACTCACTGGGTGTTCATGGCGGGCGAACGTGGGACACCCAGCAGCGGGTTTTCTGAGGGCTTTAGTGCATTTGCCAGCCTATAACTTCTTCGAGCTGTTTGGATGATGCGTTCGGGTTGAACTCAAAAGTGTAGCCAGGACATCGCATCTCGGAAGCAGCATAGCGTGGTATGATGACTACTAAAATAAGATCGAAGCCTGGCTAGCCCACCTCCAATGGAAATTACTATTCGAAATGAAGCGATGGAGCGATGGGCAGATTGTGGAGCGCTATGTGGATACCAGACCTGAAAGGCAGAGAAAGAAGGAAGAAATGATGAGCACAAGCACTGCGAGCTTGCGAGGTTGGTGATGAGCTTGAGAGTGGATCAGGATGAACACGGTTTCCAAGGGGAAGGGGCCACAGTGCGCTCAAGGGCAGTATGGGAAAGTACGTTTTAAGCAGACTAGTAGAGATGAAAGCGCCAGTTCCGTCCGTGGTGAAACCTTGTTAACTACACGTTGCATTATTCGGCGCATCTGCGGCGCTCCGCTGTTTATAGAACGTTCGATGGAACTTCGCATGAAATATACGGACTTCTTTTTCGTTCCGTACTCTATGATACACTGTTAGAATGTCCTCCGCAAGACGCACGATGGGATTACGAACGTTATATTATTGCCAACACACTTCGCTAACTTACAAGGCAGTGTTATGTCTGAGGCAGGACTTTGACCGCAACGAACTTGAGTGCGAAGATCACTCTTTGTGGCGAGAAGCAATGCCCCACATGCTATGATCCCAAGTTGGTCAGATGTACTTGAACCGTATCAAACAAACAATTGACGGCTTGGTGATTGAGCTGGCCTTGCACTGGTCTTGTTTCTGTGCTTGAAGTTACAGAATCCCTTATGCAGGTCATTTCCAGAGAAGTTGAACAGTTCGCAGACCCAATCTGGAAAAAACGCGGCCTGCTGAACAGCAAAGCCTCCCTGAGAGCCCGTATCCAATAGGTCTGATACATCTTCGCGGTCCAGAAATCTTTACTGATGCTGATGAGACTTGGCACGTTTAGACCATCAGGACATCCGTAAAGTCAGCGGTCTTCCGTACCCATGAACGCATGACGATGAGACCCAGTGTCAGCGCTCGAAGCTGCCCCACCCCTTGACGCTCCCACTGTCTTATTGATCACTCACCGAACTAGCAAGACTCTACTTGCCTAAAACCAGGCCAATACGCGCAGAACTCTATAATCGTTGCCGAAGGCAGAAAGGGCACAGCGTACTTTCTCGTGCATACCGGAGCCGCGCCTGCGACGGAATGAGGCGATATCTCTCCAAGAGTAGAGTATACTGATATTGATCATAGATGCTTATAACATCCCATCGTTTGGGGCCAGTGAAGCGGAGGGATCTCACAGATGTCAATCTGAATAGGGCATATTGCTTTGAAGATAATAGGCACAATCCAGTCAGCGTGAGCGAGATTCACCGCCTCGCAACCCAACTTGCTATGGAGGACCTGCGGACTTTCGTAGTCATGATAGAAATCTGGTTTTGAAAGCTACACCGCGATGCAAGTAGTAAATAAGCACATTGCAACAGCCCTGAGATCGTCGAGAAATTGGAGCCAGGATCGCCGTCGATCGCGAAGGGTCGTGATATTGTACGCACGTGTAGGGCATGTTATGAGAATACGCTCGATGCCAATGCCAATGACGCGAGTGCACTGAGTAAGATCATTTGGACATGCGTCGAGGGTGCAGCGTACGAAGCGGATGATGCACTCGTACCTAGCGTTGTTTCACCAGTCAGTACGTATGCTAAATTACTACATGGGTGCCAATAGTACTTACTAGAGTTATAAGGATATGGGTATGCATCTGCAATGGCGAGAGAGACACATCACCGAGATTCGATACGGACACGTTGAAGGAGTATAATACAAATATTGAACACGTGACATGAATTTTTACAAAGAGCACGCACCTGAATAATTAGTTGCAACTTCTGACAGATGGGCAAAGCCAACTGCAGGTGGATTGACACGAAAGACGCTGTATACATTTTTCTGTGGCCCGAAGGTGAGTAAAAGACACTACTGTCATTGTGCTACACATCTGAACTTACCATGAATGCGTCACCAAAAATCCAGTCTGGACCACCAGTCGCGGAGGGAGAGACTACGTCAAGACTGAAGATCCCACCCATGCACTGGGTTTCAGTCTGGCCGATCGGGCCCCAGTTCATATCCTCAGGACTGATAGGCCAGAGTTGGCCGCCGAACGAGACCGACACATTCACAAGTGTTGAGCACGCTGAACAGCAGATCGTATCAGAGAATCAGAGAGACAGCCAATATAACATAGAGATCGAAAGCTACTCACGGAACGAGTAGAAGCCCGTGTAGTTACCTCCGAGAGCCCTCGAGCCGGGCACCATCTTGTATATCGCCTCTACAGCATCCTGTGGTGCTCCAATAAGCGATGTACCAGTGTCAATTGAGGCGGTGGCAGCGTTTCCAGTGGAGATTTTAATTGGACTGCCCTGGATGGTCACGTTCTGAACGGTGAGTAGCCAGAACGTCAGCGCGCTGCTGTCCGCCAGTGTGATGTATTCGACGTCGCCAGTGTACAGCGAGCTGTTCGTGCCGCCCAGTGTAAACACCCCACCGGGCATGTTCTCTGTGGCATTGGGGTTGTCAATGACTCGTGTTAGATAGAACGCCATCTCGGGACTCGAGAGCTGGCCATTGTTGACGAGCGCCTGCCAGAACGGTACGGCGTCGGTCGCTGAGAGTCCCTGGAACGCGAGGCCCATGATTCCCGAGACGTTTGGGCTGAGTACATTGCCTGACACCGCATTGGCGACAAGGAAAGTCTGTGGGTCGACTGTGAACCCGGCCATACTAACTGTGTCGGACGCGAGGGCACCAAGAACGACGCCACCATTGTATTGAATAGAAATCTCATTTGTTGATATGCTGGTCAATGATGCAATCGTCGTGTTCTTGTAGGTGGAAGAGGCAGAAAGATTGTATCCGGGCGTATCAAGAGGGCAGCTGGCGCATGATGTAGACGCGAGCCAGAGGTCAGAGGAACCGGTATCCATGACTATCTGGAAAGTCTGAGGGGGCGATCCCACCGAGACTGTTCCGATGTATGCCATATCGTAACCCTGTGTTCAATATGATGTGAATGAGTGAACCTTCAACCATAATGCAGCAACAAGATCCCAAAGGAAGAAGGCAATAACAGGTCAACTCTCGTTGGGCTGTTAGTTGCTCCTGTGTGCCACAAGGATAACCCTCTAGGCGAGTAGCGATCGAGACGCAGGAATCACCCTGCCTCAGATCGCGAATGCGAGGCACCAAGTACGAGCACATCCCGGACTTCGATTGTGTTCGAAGTCGCGGTATGTCGCGATCCTTGTACTTCGCACGAGGTCCTAAGGCGTCGTCCAGACAGTATGCAACAACACACCTGATTGATGAGGGGCATGCTCATGTCCAACCCCCGCTTGCGTAGACTGACTTCGGTAACTGGCGCGAAGCCATACCTACAACGAAGACGGTCCGCAGCAACCACAATGTCATCTACAGATCGATCTGTCGGTATCGCAATACGAGTGAGGGGAACATGAAGGGAAGTTGCCGTCGCAACTTGGATCGCAGCGAGAATAAACGAGAATGTAGCACGCACCATGCTGGCGGCCAGAGACCCGTTGTTAGCCCATTTATATCCCGTAGCCGCTGAAAGATGTCTGCAGCACAGGTTACTCATTCCGGACTACAAGACAGACTACAAGATACAGGTTCTGTACCATAGCACTGTCATTCAGTTTATCGGAAGTGCCGTAAAGAATGCATCCATCGCTTGACACACTCTGAGGTAACATCAAAGAGAACTTCACGTTCAATATGAATATGAGAACGCGGCTCAGTCGTCGTCCGAAGGGAGAAAGTGCCGCCGTTTGGAATGATTGGACTCAAGAAAATCAGCGATGGAGATTTTTGGTTCAACTCATGCCGTATTGCGTCTGTGGAGGGCGCAGAAACACCGAAGAGTGGGTGAATGCCATGTAATTGGGAGACGATGGTGAAGAGGCGATTCAGAGTCGCCGAGCGCGCGTTCATCCTTCAACTCGGCTTTAACCGAGCTTCAACGTCAAACAATAATTACCATGGCTGGTCGGAATATCCTTTGTTTGTCCTCATCGCACTACCCTCGTGTCGGCTTTGATATTGAAGAGTCATTGAGCCACCGTTGTCCATACAGCTTTTCGCTTCTCGGTGCATCGCTTGCCATCGCTGTGTTTACGTCCATGGGTGAAGTCCTCTGCGCTCAATTTGTTCTGCACAAAAGAAACAAAGGCTGAATTTGAGATTTTCTCAGATGATTCTGAGTATGTATGAGCAGGTTCAGAAGAAACAGGTATGCAACACGACTACACTCCTGGTTTGCGAAGAGTATGATGAATCCACCCTAACATGAGCTGTTGATCACACTGTTTCTTTGTTGGGCTAGAAAGCCGGTGAAGGGAAGTAGAAGGAGATGGAATCGAACACGCTGATATTGTGCTTGGATCTTAGTGCCTGTGTGCCGCACTTCTGTCGTATCTTCGACGGCAAGTAATACTCGTTTTATCAGCAGTGCGAATGTACCGTATGATCTGATAAGTGATTAGCAAGAAGGGCACTGTAGGAGGCTGATATGAAGCGACTGCACGGATCTCGGGCCATGGAGTTGTGGCGACAGTTCTTATTGCAATTGTACAGATACAATGGTCACAAGGACAAATCATGCTAATGCGCCTGGACTGAAACGAGTCCCCATCCCAGCGAAGCCCTTCGACGATCCACAGTTGATGGTACTCTGCGCGACCATGTCAGCGGACACAGCCATCAACCAGGACAATCACCAACCTCTGGGACTATTGCAGTGCACAGATCCTCACTCCATGTGCAATTACTTGCTCTTTGGGGGCTCAGCACAACCGCATGCGGGCCAGTTGCAGGTGCCGCCGTTGGCCTCGGTCTTAGCGCACTTCGCGGTGTCCTAAATACAATAGCCTGTGAGTCATTCGTATGGCCTGCGGTAGTTGTGAGAGTATCTACTGACAGACATGCTTGTTTGAATGGGTGGTTGCGGTGAAGGATTGCTTGTGGAAGTGGTTGGAGATTGAGGGCTCACCGTGGAAGTCTTATATGGGAGAGCTTGCTGAAACTGTAGGATGGTGATTCGACGAGAAGATACGCTTTTGCCAACGACCATCTGGCCGGCTTACCATCTTATCGCGTTTGATTGGTGAAGACGGGCACCAATCCTGATCTCTCGTAAGTTAAGCTCTTTTTGTCAAATACGGCGGTTAGCATTTGTCTGACATCTCCTTGCAGCATTTCAAAGGAAGTGCCGGCACGCGGTAGTATTAAGACTTTCCCGCGGCATAAGTCTTCGCTGATACAGATGATGCAGAAGACGTTCCTCGTCCTTCATCGATGTATAGTGCTCCGCTTTTCTCATCTATGATGCTGATTCGTGTCGTCACCATCAGGCCCATTGTCCTTGGTAATTTTAAATGGCTGTTAAACTATAAACCACATACTCTATTGAACGTGCTAAGATTCCACGTGAGGTCGTAGCACTGCTGACATATCTGGTGGGTGCCCAAGTTTGTCCACTGTCACTCATGTGCTGATACGCATGCTCATATTCAATCGTATGTCCGGCAGTGTTCCTCCACGATCATAGTGGCCGTAATTTTCATTCCCTGCTAGCCGTATATATGCGACGTATCATATTTCTCAGAAGGTCTCTTGCGGGGAATGCATCAGTACACCAATTCTTGACCCGGACCAATGCTGAGGAGAAGAAGTAACTGTCTCTTCCAAGCTCTCCTTTGAAATCTCAGGGTACGCGACCCTGTGGAGATATGTCAGCACATTCATACGATACTCCCAGTGGAGTACACTTGCCTCCGATGGTGTGCCATCGCGTACTTGCTCTTGGGGGGCTCAGCACAACCACAGGCCGGCCAATTACATGTACCGCTGCTGGCTTCAGTCTTAGTGCACTTTGCGATGCCCTTGAAAAAAGCGGCTGGTTTTCTACAGGTTTATATTGGTTATAAGGTGGCACTGACAGACGTTATTGTTTGAGTAGGCTACGAGTATAGTCGGAGATTAGGTAATATGCAGGAATCGACGAAATTGAGTGTCTGCAATTCGATAACATGAGCATATCATAGAAGGTTGTCATTATATATGCCTAGCATCTATTCGTATTTGATCGGTGCAGGAGCGCAATGGTCATGAGGTTTCGGTAAGCCATCCGTTGTTTGGCAAATGAGGTTGTTCGTATTCACTGCTCATCTATTGGCATCCGCCACAAAAGTATAACGCACGGGATAGTATGACGATAGTGCATCGTTATCTCAATTGGTCGACTGTTCCTCTCCCAGCCTCAAGTATAGGCGCGGCATATGATATGGTATTGCCAAATCTTGCTAGGTGTAAATTCAATTTCAGCCCGATGCTAATATTGATTCTGGCCTGTGCTATTTAATCGGCATTTTATGTAGATTTCGATTACCATGGGTTGTCCCGAGTAAACTCCTCCCAGAAATGTGTTGGGATACAGCCAGTGAAGTTCCCGCAACATATTAAACACGAGGCTCGTTAGTCGGCGCTAGGTCGGTCCAATCGCGTGGATTTGATCAGTCACTACACTCGCTCATCAAGTCATCGTCGCTGTGCAGGGATGATTTGCTTGCTTCGAGAACTAGTAAAGGAGCTCATTGTTACCAAATACCGGGCAGTACAACATCACCCTATTTCAGGGACACTTCTGATTCTGCTATCCTATGATCTCCCCATTGATTGAGGCCGATCACATGAATGAAGGCCGTTGACAACCTCCCTTTCATCTCTCTAGGCTCCAAGATCCGCAAGGGCTCCATGTGGAAGCAGCAATAGATGCAGCGCAGGATGTCAACTAAATTCGCCTACATAATAGAGCAGCAAAACAAGTTCCATGCCGACAACTAGTCTGGCATGCGCTCACGTTCGGAGGCAATATGGGCTCGACCAATGAAGTCCTGTCTTTTACTTTCATACCCTCTCCGAGTCTGCACAACGGCTTCGCTTGACCTGTGCTAGCTTCATTAAGACCTACAGGGCATGATGCTGTAGGCCGCGACATATATAACAAGGCATTCTGACGGTCGTGGTCCTCAGTCGTCGACTACAACTACTCAAGAGCTCAACTCGTGTCCAACTCCTCCAGTTCACAATGTCTGTGAGTATATACATACCGAGCCTTGTTAAGTGTGTGTCACTAAATTTGCTGACGCCAGGACACCGCGAAGTGCGCTAAGACCGAGGCCAACGGTGGCACCTGCAACTGGCCCGCATGCGGCTGTGCTGAGCCCCCAAAGAGCAAATAAGCTCTGGCACGATACTGGTTTTGATGATTGCGTGCGTATAGTCTGCTGCTCCCCTCTTATAAGATAACTAACTTGGATGGGGACAGTGATGATCGTGATAAGCCGACGGCTGGCCTGGGTCAGGGCGGCTGTTCAGCGAAGGGTTATGGTAGTCGATATTCGCTTAATGGAATATCCATATCTTGACCTGTGTGTGGCGCGTGCCCTTGACAGTGATAAGGATCGAGTACGAGGAGAAGGAAACTCTGCAGGCGTGATTAAGCCAGATGGACTATCAGAGGTTATCCGTGCGCTCGGCTGTGAATCCACCCTCCTCTGTTGAAACGCGACAAGAGTACCTCGGATTCTCACTCTGATGGCATGGAAGGGGCATGCTTGGGCCTCGCGGTGCGAGAATAGTTGGAATGCGTTGTGATATCCAACCTTCGGAATCAGGTGGACATATACATTCTTCAGTATTGTCAGGTGCCTAGTTTTCCACCTCATGCTCAGCCTCACGATCTTACTGCGGAACGTGGAGGAACATGTGTTGTAGGGCTTTTAATTGGCTGAGTACTGGGTTTCCTCAGTCTCAAGAAGCATCTCACTTTTTACAGTAATCGATACCTCGATGAAGGCGTCGCAGGATTTTGGTTCCACCAAGGACGAAGTCTTGCACTCTGCGTTGAACCTCGCTCTTGGAGGAGAATTCATCAATACAAAGATCTATGCGTTCTCTCGTAGAACCACTTCCGGGCTCGTTTACAAACCTCGACCCATATATACCAATAGCTTGACACTGAAGGCCACGTCGGGGTTTTTCGATGGACGTATGTTGTCTTTTGTGCTGAGACAGGTCTTCATACTAATTTTCGTGATCGTGATGACAGTCTTATCTGCGGGATTCTCTGAAAGTCAAACAACTTTCCTTGATGATGACGACCAATACATAGAACAAATGTCGACGAACTTATATGAGTATGATTCCGATAGCGATCTTGAAGATGAGGAGCTTGGTGACGACGCAAATTCGAGTTCCCCGGAGCCTCACTTACCGGCGGCCAGGAACGAAGAGACTAATGCCAATGCTAAATGTAGCTCCGGTGAGAGTCGTGATGAGCACAGCAATTCAAACACGACAGGATATGATCTTATCCATACAGCTTTGAGATATTCCGCCGCTGAATAGCCCGAGGTAGGTGACAAGGAGCTCCATTCTACTGCTCATTGACATTTGCGCTAAATAGGAAAAGGAAGCCCGATACTTCGAATCGACAAGCCTCGTGCATCAAAAGCGTAGTTCTCGAACAGCAGCTATTCCTCACGATACGAGCTCGAGACCATGCGGGCGGACTGTCTTCTTGAGAAGTGTGGCGTTCAAGACGTGAGTCCCGATGTGGATACGAACGTACGGACACTGGTACTGATTTGGGACGATAGGCTGAAAGCGTTTGCTTTCTACGCATTCACTGGCAAACTTGCATTTGCTCCCCTCAGATCGCGAGTCTTGCACGATGGTGTGGGACTGGCTGACCCATCCGGCAGCGTCAAGGCTTTCCATCCACCTCTATGCTCCCCTAAATCGATGTATCGCCTCGCCGAGATGGTAGGGGTAAAGCCTGATATATTGCATAAAGTCAAAAATCTGACTGTTTCTCCTAGTGAGGTATAGGTCAGCTCCAAGACCTTGCCTTGGTCGAGATTACAAAGAATTTGACTCCGAAGACAATTATGGATGAGCTATTTTCTTCCTTTACTTCACAGTATTTCTTTCATTTTAAAACTCGGCTGAATGCCTTCCCTCATATTGGCTTTATTGAAATTAGGTATCCTCTCGTAGAGAAAACTGAATTGGACTATTTATTGGGCAGCACTATCCCATCAAACATCATGCTCGAGTTGTCAGAACTCATCATTAAGATGTCGAATGGTTCCCAACCACATGCTTGTCATGCATTGGCGGCCCTTATCGGGATCTTGGTAAACAACCATAACACCATCCGCTCGAACCCGCCGCCTCCAGTCTCAGACTCAGACTGTAGTTCGGCTGCCGTGTACAGGACTACCGAATTCATAAAGCGATAAAAGGGAAAAGTAGATAGGTTCATTTATCTATTGGAGTCAGATGTACATTAGCGAGCACGCAAATCATCAGGTTATTCCACTCTGAATTGCTGCACCTTGCCTGTTTTTGTGAGTTCAAAGCAAGTTGCCGTTCAGATGAAGGTGTATGCTCCGATACTTGGCTGAGATAGAAGACAACCATGAATAGGTGGTATCCAATGTCGCAGATTGAGGTCTGCACGGGTGCGTTCAACACGCACACGCTCATACGGCGTGTCTACGAAACATGCACGGACTCACATAGATTATTATGCACGTAGATAACCATCCAGTACTAACTTGTATATATTCTCATGCTTCGGAACGTGATGCTTCAGGAGAAGTGTCCTGAAGCATCCGTACATCTCTCTTTTCACTATGTATTCTACTCGTATACTTACAGTAGATGACAGCGACTGAATCGTCACTGTCAGGTATGTTATATCCAGGCGAAGTGTCCTGAAGCATCTCGACTGAATCGTCGCTGTCAGGCTACACTGCGTGCGCGCGAACATTTGTTCGGCGCTGTTATACAAGAACTCGAAGAAATTCTTTGATATCCAGGATACGCCAATCTCCAGCCATCATGATGATAGCCAATGAAGATATTCAGGTTGCACGTACCGGCTTATCCACAATAAATGACATACCGATGTATCGTGGTTCGTGGAAGGACTAACCAATGACAGAATGTGCGTTAGGTGTAGCTGCCAAGCGCACTTTCCATCTATGCCGCCGCCCCGCGAACGATGACACAGATCCCCTGGACCGTGCAATATAAATAGAGGTCCTCTCCGTCGTAGATATTCCCAGTCCCACCTACAAACACTCTCAGCCAAATCTCCTTTCCACAACACAGCTTACAATGTCTGTGAGTATACTCTTTGGATATAGCAGCCTAGGTGAACGTGTGCGCAGCCCTTGCTGACCAAATGACAGGACACCGCGAAGTGCGCTAAGACCGAGGCCAACGGCGGTACCTGCAACTGGCCCGCATGCGGCTGCGCCGAGCCCCCCAAGAGCAAGTGAGCGTGTCCGTGCGCGTTGCAGACAGTGCTTGATTTGCCTTGGTGCGTACAATGTGTCGCTGTCAAAGAAGAAAGCTGATGCGAATTTGGGCAGTAACACGCTCTTAACGGGTGGATACTTGCTCGGACTGGGAAGGTTCGCTTTTTGGTTGGCATTGGGTCTGCAATTTTCGAGTGAAGGGGAATCATCGTACTTGTGAAATGTCTGTGCAACAATGGATACAGCTCTCAGTTATTGTGGTTGTCAACCCTTTGAGAAATCAAAGCAAGCTCGTCAGACACAAAAAATGAAGGAAAAACCAGCGGAAACATGCGTGATATGAACAACAAGGTGGTGCGGGGCCACCGGCCTTGCATCCAGATTCGTCAACGACTCCGAGTCTGACGCTTTGCTTAAAGTTGCTCCCTACTACTAGAAGTTTAATTTAACCTCGCAAGAATCTGGTCGGATGAAAATCATGGTCAATGGATCGGAAAACCAACATGAGCCTACTATTAGTGTGGCACCTTGTGGGCGCCACGCTCGGATGCACCGTCGATAAGCGCCTATAATGATCGGGACGCCGCGGAGAGCGGAAAATCGTCTTGTTCTTTTGATGCTAATTGTTGAACAATGCTGTTCCTACTTCATTCGTACACCAGCCAATGCGGAGCTCAATTGGAAGGAGATTTTTTGGTCTAGACAAATGGCGGTGCCATTATGTGAGTAGATCATTCCTCCAGGGCATTGTGCTTGTCGATACCGATGGGGCTGACCCACATCTGCACTTTCCTTCTGTTCGGTTGTTGTACATGACATTGTATGTCGATAGTACTCGTCAGGCACAAGACTTCAGTTCCCTCTCGACAGATCAATGCTCTTTTCAATACCACAGTTGTCGGTCGCTTCGTCATTTTTGTATCCTACTACAGGCAACGAAATAAACGGGATCACAAAAAAACCTTGACAGGTCTTTTCCATAATCATTGCACCACCTTTTTTGCAGACCTTCGACGCTCTCTATTCTTTCGCCCATTGCGGGGGTTCGTCTTTACCTTCTTCTTCAAGCTTTTCTCCTTGTTCGAGCGAATCATGGACAGTGTCCGCCTTGTGCTCTGCTGGTGCATATACCTATTTTTGGAGTCATGATTAGCTTCGCACCGCCTGGTTTCGCATCTGCAACGTACCGTTGACACGATCAAGGGCGTTGGGCCTGTGTTGATGAACTGTGAAGATACGTCGTTCAGGTTACTGTTAGAATGAATAAAGGACCAGATCTGACGTTGTGCAGCGTCCCAGAAGGTATGATGACGTGGTCTCCTGGATTGATCTCATCCTTCTGTGGTCAGGATTAGTCAGGCAACGACAAAAATAGGGCAGTCGGTCGTACATGGGAACCATCTGTGATGCACCGGGCAGTACCCGACACGAAATATAGGTGCTGGTCGACTGTATGCGTCTCCTATTGGGGTGAGCGGCGCATAAAGGTTTTCGGTATCACAGTGTTCGTTGAAGTTTGGACACCCACCTCACCAATCTCTCCGCCCGGAGGGATGGTCATGATGACCAACTTGAACCGGTGAGTTTCATTCTGTAACAAGATGAAATGAGGTGGGCTACCTGACTGTGCTTTCCCGTGAAAACCACCCTTCGGAATTTGTCACTCTCACTGGCTACCTTGGCAATGTTGTGTATGATGACGGCTTTCTTCGGTGGCGAAGTGTTCGGCTTCGGCGGGGCCATCGTGCTACGCGATGCGATGAAGATGCGACTATGGGATTTAGGAAATTGGACTATGCGCAGGGAAGTTAAAGCGGAGAGGCGGAACATAAGGAACGAGCGGCGATGACGGATGCTCTGCTTTATATGTGAGCATCGTGCCCCTCTCCTTTGCTATCTGCATCTCAGTGACAGACGGCAAGCTAAGCTTACGCTGAGTTGTCGAAGTGACGTCACCGATCGCCGACTGGCAGTAGCTTGCATTGGTCCACATGCAAGAGCATAGACACGATTGGTGTAGTGAGCTACGTCGAGCATGTACTTAGAACAATCGACTTTAGGGATTTCCTAATTATCATAGCACATCTATTCGACATTGAAGATGATGCTGCGAATGACCTTGGGAAACCATGTAGCCACGGATAGCATTACAACACATGGCGACCCCGCCCATGCTTCACACAATCATCTAGTGGTAGTATTTGACATTGCGCAATACCAGATATGCCAGTTATAGTCAACACAAAGAAAGATCCAACAAATTTGCTTCCATCGATACTACCTCACACTTGTCACGCCACTTTCGGGAGTCCGTTGGGCCCCAACAGCGCCTCCTCAACACCCAAGACTCTTGGCCCGTCGCCAACCCTGGTGTGAATGAGCCCCTTCACCGCACCAACGCCAAACGGCTTCGCCACCGCCTCGTTGAAGCCCTCGACGACTTTACCCCGGACCCCTGCCGCACCAAAAAGGCCAAACGGATCCTTGAAGGTGTCTGCCTGAGGGAAGTAGCGCACGATCAACTCCACGATCTCCTTCAAATTCTCCTCCGGCGCATAGATGACCGCGTTCGGGCCTGCATCGAACGTGTACGCAGCCTTGAGCGATCCGCCGCGCTCGACGGCAACGCGATTGTACTCGACGATAAGCGCGATAATCGCGCGTGAGACGTCGTTCATGTAGAAAATCGGCGGATCTGTGTCGAGCGCGACGGCGTGGAACTGGTTCGAATCCTGCATAGTGATCCGCGCGAACGTGTTGAAGTCGCGCGCGTGAATCGCCGCAGAAATTGCCGCCATCCGTTCTGGCACGACGGACACGATGCGGTGCTGCAGGAGGGCCGACGTCTCAACCGTGCGCTGCATCCCCGAGGTAGAGGATGTGCCCTTCTTGTCATCAGACACGACGCAGATAAGTGCCTGCAGCTGTGGCCAGTGCGAGCGCGGTGCAACCTCGACGGCGAGCGAGTCAGAACCATCAGGGGAGGAACCCATCTCCCACGCAACGAAGCCGCCAAAGAGGGAGCGGCATGCAGACCCGGAACCTTGCCGCGCGATGAGGGAGAGCTGGGATGGAGATGCGGGCAAGGCGTATAACGCAGCGAGACTCGATACTAGGGCTGCAAACCCTGACGCAGATGATGCGAGTCCAGCGGCAGTGGGGAAGTTGTTACGGGAGGATATATGCACGTTGTACGGAGAAATCTGAACCTGTGTAAGCGTTGACTGCATTATCGAGAGTCGATACTACATGCCTTAGGCAGACTGGCATCGTTTTCCTCTACCTCCCTACGCAAGCGCCTCATCTCTGAAATACACGTCGCAAGTCGCCCGCCTGACTTGATCTCCTCCTCGACGCCATTCAGCCAGAGGCGATCTTTCTCGAAAGACGAATCCGCACGCGAAGTTGTCGTTGAGCGGAGTTGGTCCTGATCAAGGGTCACAGAGAGTGAGGAGTTAGTGGGGAGAATGAGTTTGGTATCCCGCTTGCCCCAGTACCTGAAAACCATAAGCACAAGTCATACCAGCAGAGCGACTAGAAGCTCACTTTATGCAAGCAATGTTCACGGGTGCGGAAGCGGTGGCTTGGTAGAGAGGCATGGCGGATGAAGTGAGAGAGAGAGACGAGGATGCATGAGTTTTGTATGGCGCATTTCAAGGATTGCACGATGTCTGAAATCGAAGATCGTACGGCTATCGACGGGCGCTCCGATAAATATTCTACGCGCCGAAGTGCGTTGATAAACTACGCTATTCGCTTTGCTGCACTGAATTATTGGTTGCAAACATGTCTATATTGCTGGAATCAATCATGTACACTGCCTAGGTTTCTGAGGGACGACAGAAGGAAATTCTGGAAAAGCCCTGTTTATCGCAGACTAGTCATACTTTACTGGATAAGTCATCCGAATGTATTCATAATTCCACTCCACAATAGGAGAGCTTCAACCTGAGGCCCCAATAGCATGACAACATTCTTGAATGAACGTCAACGTATATACCGATGCATGTAGTGATCAAACAGGGACGTATCAGTCAACTTAACGCAATGCTCGGCCTCGAAGCTCTCCATACAGCGTGAGAAGTTGAAGAATTTTCTGTATTGAACAAGACGTACACGCACATGCTACAATCTTTGCAGGGTGTTGTTGAACGCGACAGACAGTATATAGACCAAAACCAGAGAGCAAGCACGAGGCACAGAACGGAGAGGATGAGGGAGAAACACGACATGAGCGAGAAAAGAGTTGAACAAAATATTATCATGGACAAAGAGATGTATCCCTCTATGATGAGGGCCGCAAGAGAATACACCGAAAGGGCATATTTACAGAAACCAAATATGTGCAAGGAAGACGAATACGAGTGGAGTGAAGGGACCGGATATATGGATTGAGGCCATGATACCCTATGATACCTTATATAACCTAAACGTGTGCCCGAGAGGACTCTGGGAAGATTGGCGGTGGTCGAGGAGCTTGAGGGTCTTTCGGTGGTCGTACGCGGAACTCCGACACGATGCATAAATGGCTGTCATGAGACTTCAGCGTCAACGTCTTCGCTAAAAAGCAGAAGAATTCAACGTACTCTGATGGGAAGTGGGGATTCGGGAAACCAACCACCTTCTCCAAATACGATTTATCCACCTCACCGAGAACAGCGTTGACAGATAGATTCGCGGTGGAGTACCAGATATAGTCGATCGCCCCATAGAAGCTTGGCGTGAAGTTTGTTAGGGGGAGTTCGCCCACCGCAGCATACGCACTCTTGAGTCCGAGACGATGTTTCAAACCATCAGAGGTGTACTTGCCGTACAAATGCGACATGAAGTCGGGATGATTGTGCGGCACGGTACCCGTTGATAGGAAATCATAGACACCGCTCGCTGGTACCGAGTTGAAATCTCCGCAAATGATTAGCGGAATCTTCGTCCCATCTGAGTAGATAGGAGGGGGGCGTGATGAGGCATTGTGATCCCCTGCGCCAGAGGTAGTGGTCATGCCATTGGTCGAAATGGGTGGACGAGGTGGATACTTTGCAAAGCTATCGGCAATCTTCTCGATCTCCTCGACAAGAAGGGCAGCTTGGACCAGCTTGACATCACGATATTGAGGATCCCAATGGATATGGGCGTTGGCGATGATGAAGCGTGTACCGGTCAGTTTGTTCTCAAGCAAACTGATCACGGCGATATGGTCCTTGCCGAGCACTCGATTAAACATGTCGTCCGTCTTCTTAAAATCTGACCGCTGCATCGCGACAGCGCTGAACTCAATGAGATGTTTTTCCACAAGAGTGTATCTAGAAGATCATCAGCGAAACTGTTCGGTGAAAAGAAAGATTTCGCCCACTTCGATGCCTTGTAGAATGTAGCGCACCCATCAACCAGCCGTCGATCTGCTTCATTCATCGTCTTGTACCTCGACTTTGGCCAATACACACCCTCATAGTCTCGTTCCGACAAGTTGCGCAGGAAATAGTCCTCGTATTGCGCAATATCAACTTCTTGCAGACATACGAAGTCAGCGTCATGGCCGACAATCTCCGCTAGTATTAGCTCCTTGCGATAGTCCCATGCAAGAGCCCAGGAAGGTGTATATCCATACAACCGCTCTGTCGCACATCTCTCGCACAAGATATTGTAGCAAAGCGCACTGAGGGTCTCGACATTCGGGTCGCTCGCCAAACTTTCTCGTTCGGCCGTAGTGATGAGATCTTTCCATATGCGGTCTGGGGGCGATGCCGAGACTGGACATGAATCTCGCAAATAAGAGATGAGTGCAGGTGTACCGTCTTTCTGTACAATTTGCTTTAGCGAAAGTTCGAGCGGATTACCCTCGATTCCCAGCGTTTGCAGTTGATGCAAGGTACCAAGTTCTGGTGGCAACGTGGTGAGCTGGTTATCAAATAGATAAAGCTCTTTCAACGATGTAAGCATTCCAAGTTCTGTGGGGATGTGAAGAAGGCTATTCCCGGACAGATCCAGTAATTCCAGATGGCGCAGCTTGGCGATCTCAGGCGGTATGCTGGTCAGCGCATTATGATTGAGATACAGGTTGATCAGAAACGAAAAAGAGAATAACCCGGACGAGGGTGGGAGACTTTTAATGTTTACCCCGCCCATATCCAGAGAGCTCCACGTATTCTGCGGTTTCGGTGCAGTTGGCCGTGGGACTTCAACAACTGGAGCAACAGTAGATGAAGGATGATCCGCGCCTTTTGCGGTCCCATTCGCGGATGCTGAAAGCGACGTGGGAGAGGACGTCGTTGCAGACGCAGTTGAAGGGGACGAACCCGAGGTCCCGTCGTTCTCCTTCACGATTGTCCCATTTGTATCCGCCGGTTTGACTGCATTTGGGTTCGTTATGGGGATGGCTGATTTCTGAACTGTACGGGAGGCCATAGCACTTGCCCGCGCGCGATGGTGAGGCGATCGAGACGCACGGCTCATCTATACCTCGCCAGTGAATGGCTGCAATCTCATATCAAATGATCTAACGCACCTCGTACTTGAGCAACTGCTGTTGCCAGTGCACGGTCATATGTGGTGTAGATACACTCCCAGGCGACCCATTCAGCGCAACATGCCCTTGTAATCCGTTTCCATTAGGCGGAGACGGAAAATGCGAGTGGGACAAAGAGTTTTGATGGTGATGGTGGTGAGTGAGTGGCCCTGACAAGTGGGGATGTGGATGGTGCTGCATCGCACTCAGCGCACCATTAAACAGGGGATATCCAGGGGATGTCGGCGGCTGAGTGTGAGCGGGGGCACCCAGGACGGCGTGATGCGGCTGTCGAGACCATGGGGACTGATCGTGCACCTGATTCGGATGCTGGTGGGCGGGGAGCTTATGGGCGATGCCCGGGGATTGTTGCGGATAATACATCGCATTGGAAGTGAGCGTCGCCACAGTCGAAAGCGTAGCCACTTTGGAAACAGAAGAAGTAGGGATTGTGATCAATTCAAGTTCAAGAAGGACTGAGCGTCGAGCAAATGGTGTAAGTCGTCGTCGTCGTTATAAACAGTGAGCGTGGAGCTTTGTCGCTGGAGGAAGCAAGAAGAGCAAACGAGTCGTCAGCGCCATTGCTGACTAACACCGACTTCCTCAATTGGTCGGAATCATTATGACCGTACAGCCTCCGACTTTGTTCCGGTCCGCGGGCGATCGTGCGATACTCGTCTCCGTGCTTCCTTCAAAGTCAATGTCGAACAGTCAAGACGAATGTATACCGCTCATCTGCCTCTCATGCATAGCTTCTACAGTTGTGCAGGCATCATGCATCGATTTCAAGCCAGGAGCAGCGTCGCCCTTATTCGCTTTACAGATACAATATCCATAATATCATGCCGATATGCTCTTTTGACTTGATGATCTACACCAGAAGTCCGCTCAAGAATATTCCGACTTCATCGATCCCTCTCGCATGTCTCTTGACAATTATGGATGAAGCATATTCAAGTGCAAGGGCGTAAGCACTATGCCTGTCGACGGTAAACCCCCTCCCCAGAGCGTATGTTGCCACGATGGGACGTTCGCTTTCAAAGGCGTCCAAGGTTGTCATGGAATGCGCGACTCACTGCATTTCCGGATGTAGCTGATCTGGATATTTGACGAAGATACTGTGTCTTGACCAAAGTGATGGATAAAACATGTTCTAATATGATCCTGTCAATGCGAGCTTGTATTGCAGGGATGGGCTGACGATGTCCAGCTCTTGAAACTGCACATGAGCACCAACTACAGATAATATCCAGGCCTGCGATCTGCAGTATTGATGGCTCTTACCCATCCCGTAGTTCACATAGCTGTCCGCGTTATCTTCGGACGGACGCAGCCACGTCCCCCAAGTGCACTGGACAATCCAATGACCAGTGATCTTTACCACCACAGTATGGGCAAAGACCGAAGGGCTTGATCTCCGCCCTCTTACGGCAATCACGAATGTGATGCTGGCCTCTACAGGCAGTACAAACCATTCTCCGGCCTAATCTCCGCGAACGATTGGGCGTATGAAGTCTCCCCTCGCTACCAGAATTCTTGGCTTCACCTGCGTGAGCGACAAGTAGGTCTTCCTTGCTACGTTTTTCAGGAGGTCGTAACGTGAAAGGAATAAGCGAAAGAGGGGTATATACGGAGGAGATTGATTGGTCTAAGGAAGCCCTCGGCTTCAAACGCTTCTCCTTGAACAAGAACTGCCAGTGACGCTCAATGATAAGGGCTAAGCGAACGTCACGGAGGGTAATACCGGGATGTCTCGGTGGCTTCTCGTCGGTTGAATAGTGTTGTTCTGGCCGTAAGGCATTATCCGTGCGCGTGCTAAAGAGAACCGACCTCATATTGCTCATCACGATACTGAAATTGGTGCCAAGCTGAAAAACCAAAAGATGATTCAGTACATTCAATCGAATCCAATGCAATTTACATACATTTTCTTCAAAGCACATTTGCATAACGTCAGAAACAAAATCATAGGTCCCCGTGCCCGATTTGAACTTGATATATTTGGCTAACTGCCAACGGCCTCGGTTCCAGGTGACGAACCATTCTCGGAGGTATAATGGCTTAAGGTACTGAGCAACATCATAGTCTTCGAGGATCACGGGGGGTCCATTTGAAAGCGATGGTAATGCCGGAAGTCCATCCGTGGGCAATTTTGCTTTGCTGACCTTTTGGACGGGGTGCTGCATCAAACCGCTGAAAATATCTGAAAGAACGTCCGCAGCTTTTGCTGGGCCGGCAGCGGATTCCAACGTGCTCCAGGAGTCACTGAAACTGTCTCCGCTTACGTCTTGAAACCTTGGATCGGCGTCAAGTTCATCCCATTCCGAACTGAGCGACCATGGCGATGGGACGGAGGAAGTCGATGACAAACCTGGGTATGCTGGTTGGAACTTTGTTTAACTACCTCGCAATTAAGATGGAACAAACCCACCTATTGGCCTGTGAAAAGGCTGAGCGGCTTGAGAGTAATTCTGAGCCATGTCTGTTACCATACCCTCGCCTCCGTCTAACTTAGACATCATACCCTCTTCAGGCAAAGTTACATTCATATCGCCGGGTGTTCTTGCTGCTTCCAGCACGGAAATTTCACAACTTGGATGTGCGCCCTTGCCTTTCGCAGTGACTTGTGTAGAATAAGTGAGCTGGCTTCGACAACGCCGTTGAATCAGTTTTCGGGCCCGATGACTGGAGATAGATCTGGAAATATGTCTGAAGTTCGATCCATGTACATCTCGTACAGCTAGAAAACATGCAACCAGATGAAACATTCAAGGTTCAGGATTCAAGAGCAGAAAGTGCTATTCCCAGGCCGCCGTCGAGATCTCGAGAACTGAGATGATCACGTGCAGGAGACGCGCAAACTGTCAGGCCCACTTAGTCCGTGGCATTCACGGTTCAGGCAAGCGACCGTGAATCTTCCCGGAATCAGCCCAACTTACTTACGGGAACGTTCAAAATAAATTGCTACCTGCACAAGACCTCTCCCTCGCGTACATCTTAAAAAACCTAGATATCCAAGGAGCGAGGAATTTTGGTGCGATCGTCAACGATGCTAGAGCAGTGTAGTTGCATGCTTAGACTTGAATATGGGCTGCATAAATTGGAATCTCTCTTTGGAAGCCTTCCCTCGCAAAATGGACCTTTCCCCACTGGGGAAATGGTCACTCCGTTGTTGTACATGCAAAGAATTGGGTCGTGAAAGACAGACTCATTTCAAGTCAGGGCTACAAGAGTCTTCGGTATGTCTTCCAGACGACTGGCAACCATGTTGTACGGCGCTCACCTCCATTTTTAGTCCTTCGGTCAGGCCCTTGACAAATTCAGACAGGTGTAAATCAACCACGTCGGAGGATTTACCCCGCCTCAGCATATGCCCGCTTCACGTACATCTGCGGGTTTTGCACATTTGACTTAGTTGACACCCCATCCACCCTACTTCCTTCGAGCCTGGGGACGCATCGTCTATTCTTGCTGCGTCGACCTCTTCACCATTTGAAGTATAAGAATACAATACCAACATCGCCCTGAATTCCAACTCGGCCTACAAGCCTATCGTAAGTCATTGTATGCTCTACTGTCCGCGACTAAGATATCAGAATCTCAGGTCTATTCTTCCAACAAAAGGTAACATTTCTCCCAACTTCAATCTACAAGTTTCATGACACGTCTCTTGTATATTAAATTATTATTACTCACTATCGATATCTTTGCTACGTCGAAGCGAGCGAACCGTGAACGTACAGGAGGTAAGTTTTTTCCCGAACGACACTGGTGCCCTCTACTCCCGCTACATGACAACATTCTAGGATCCATAAGGATGCTATGGCAACATGTCTATTATCATATATTATATCACTAGTATGAAGGCAGAAAGGCATACAGTCGTAGCCGACGCTATTGAAAGCAAGGGTGTTTCTGAAATGTCATGCAAATCCTTTTAACATCCTGAATCCTCAGCCATTTGTAGGCGGCTTGGAGTCACATCATCCCGGTGACCGGTGACCTTTCGCATCGTAAATGAGTAATCCAGAACAACCGGCTTATAGCAAACCAGGTCTCGTAAGAGGCATTAACGGCTTCAGATCATGAATCATCAACCGTTTCTTCCGTATTTTCATTTCCATCTTCCGTAACGCTAGAGAACCCATGCGTTCAGTCGGCAAATCGAGCTATCAAGAAGCTAAATGCATACCCATCAATTGTATGTCTAGCCGTGCATCGCTGTCTGGCTGCCACATCGCTAAGTTCATGAATGCTTTGCGCACCCAAATCTAAATCACTAATCACGACCGACGCAGTCTCACGAAATGGATTCTCTACGCTGATTTCAGACTCTAGGCAATACAATCAGTTTTCTTCTAAGCACCAGGAAGGTCAATCGAGGCCCTACACAGGGGTTTGACGTACCAGGGGCAGATAGACTACCTGGACTGGACCTTCCCGCACGATCTTTGTCTCGCCACAACATCTTGCTCTTTGCTTCGTGTGAAGAGGCCTACCCGAAATAGCTTAAGTTACTGACAGAGATTGTACTTAATCAACGTACCACCGCTCTTTGGTGAAGCTTACGTGCATCAGTCGAGTATTGCGAGATCAGATTCCACTTCGACGGAGCAAATGAGGTAATGAACCCGACAGACTCGAGCTTAGCTCGAGACGCGCAGTTTCTGAGACAACATGGGTCAAAAATGTGCTGTTGACAGAGGCTCAGATCATTACTTGTCAAATCTCTGTTGAAGTGAGTCGTGAGCTTCTCTGTCCATATGTGGGGGCCGCATCTGCTCTAGAATCTGCAAAGTTGCAGCTTGGGCTCTGTCACCCTCCTTCAATTTCGCTGGTGGCAAAAGAGGGGCAACGAGGCGACAGATAGGTTTGAAGGCCGGAGTAGCCATTGTGACGACGTCAGCCCCTCCATCTAGCACATTGAAAAAGGTTTCGGCTGCAGCAGTGGACATGCCTAGGGACGTATTCGGGAGAGAAAGATCGATGGGATACAGTGGTTGTACATGGGCCCGCGGAAAGGGTACCCTATATAAGACTCGTCAGTATAAGTGTCGATGCTTCCGGTCGCAACCTCGACTCGATGAGAACAAAAACAATGTGATGCCCCTGGTGCGAGGTAGTAACCATGTGAGTAGTTTAGAAGCACGACCCCGTGAATGTAATAGGCACCGCCTACGTGAAAAGAAGTGCAACAAAAACAATTTGCGAGGAGGGCGTGACATAGGGTATCATAGTTGTCACAGGAAAACGATCTGATCTCGATCGAACCCAGTGGCTGGGGTCCCTCAACTTGTTCTCTACATTGCATCTCGGTTGGCACAGTGTGCTCTGGGACTACGTTGCTCTCCATCAGTATGGCATCCGAATCGCAGGTTGATTCTGGAGACAGATCTGAGCCTCCGCCTGCAAAAGACCCTGGTGGTCTTCTCACCTCCGAACACTATTGGCGCGACCGCCAAGAATGGTTGGAACAACGTGGCTACATGCTTCGTCCTCGCTATAGACCTGACTGGAAGCCGTCTTGGGAAGGAAATAAGAAAGTTTGGTTCGTGTGCGAGGATGGTTTATATCATGATGTGAGTCGACGTTGCTTACGGTTGGGCGAGACGGCCTCACAGATTCACAGCATCCAACCGTCCTCGATGCCATCCGCATTTCGGATAACTCTGTAGTGACACTAAAGAAGATATCAACAACCGTGCATCCACATGAGATAGAAATTGCTCAATATCTGTCCTCTGAGCCTCTCTCGGCTGATCCAGATAATCACTGCGTACCAATTCTCGAAGTCCTCCAAGATCCGCATGAAGAAAATGTCGCCATTTTGGTGATGCCTCTGCTGAGAGACTGCAATGATCCAGAATTTCACACCTTTGGTGAGGTTGTGGCGTTCTTTCATCAATTGTTTCATGTAAGATATCTCGCCCAAGTCTGTACTTAATGCTAACGATAAATAGGGCCTGAGGTTCATACACAAGCAGCGGGTCGCTCACTGGTGAGGTCTCGTTGTCCCCTAATTATACTGCTAACGTAATAACAGCGATATAATGGCATTAAATGTCATGATGGATCCCATGCTACTGTATCCACGACTGTATCACCCCATTAACACGCACCGCAACCGTGATCTCACAGGAAATGCGAAGCACTTCACTCGAACTGAGCGTCCACCCAAATACTATTATGTTGATTTTGGACTTTCTCACAAGTACGATGTGGACGTCAGCGACCCAAGGGTGCACCCAATTCTTGGCGGCGACAAGTCAGTCCCGGAGTTCCAAGGTGAAGGATATAACCAAACATGGAATCCATTCAAGACGGACATATACTACTTGGGCAACTTCATTCGACAAAATTTTCTCAAGGTGACATCAACTTCTCTGGCAAGATGACACAATGCTTACCGTATCTATGCTCTAGCGATATGTCGGGTTCGAGTTTATGTACCCACTCATTGCTGACATGGTGCAGCAGGATCCCGACAAACGTCCGACAATAGAGGAAGTTGTGGACCGCTTTGCAGATGTACAAGCTCGAATGTCGTGGTGGAAGCTGCGTAGTCGTCTTTTGCAACGGGATGAACCTGCTTTATTTTGGGGATTCAGGATTTTCGGCCACGTTTTTCGCACTGCAAAATATGTGATCAAAGGACTTCCGCCAGTGCCGCTTCCTTCGTGATACTCTCTGTAAAGCGCCCACACTCTCGTATTTTTGCTTCATTTTATATGCTGTCCCATTGCTTGTTGTTGCTTATTAATTGATCAACACCCGAGTTTCATGCCTCTGCTGTACGGCGTTTCACGCATTGCGTATAAATCCGCACTCTCCTCCATATTTTCTTCAAGCTGTCAATGTGCTATTCGTCGATGAATTCCGACAGTCCCTCAAGACTCTGACAACGCCACGCGTTGCCCCGACGTGCAATCCTGTCAAATGCTGATGTACAAGTCGTCAGGTACCTACGTACGTGAGTATCATACCTATCATGTCCCTGAATAACGGTTAAAACAAGAGACCAGGACAGGTGCGTCCTACGTAGCTCTATTCTCGTATTTTTTTTCTCACATCACAGACCGCATGCGCAGGCGTCACATAATCTCGCTGCCTGTAGGCGCGATTCTCACCAGTGGTTACAGCTTGGGAAAGCGCATCGCATCGTTCGGAGGTTCTCGAATGTTCAAGGTCTGGTCTTGCCTGCCGAGAACATTTACAATTGGATTTGCCCATTGAATTCCTCTCGTTCGCAAGGTCTGACGTTGTCTCGGGAACGTAAGTGCTACTGCATGGCTCCGTGCTGACGTGGGCGTCAAAAAGAGTAAATCACGCATGTCGTATCAAACGATATGCCGGTGCACGGATATCCTCAGCAGTTCAACCGGTCCATGAAAGGGATCGCACGTTGTACAAAGAGGGTAAAGCTTGTGTCCTGATTATGTGGAATTCTATATTTGAGGTTCACGACGAATGATCACGGGTAAGTCCGAATACTTCTGCTCCGCATCAAATGATATCAATGCATAGGAGTCGCCTCTGAATGCACCCGCGCTCAGTGCCCACAACCCATTGTCAACATATGGAAATGCAAGGTAGTTCACCGCTGTAGGCGTTGATAGACCCGTGGGCAGCGAGTAGCGGCTGGATCGATGGTATTGTACTCATTGCTTCCCTGTCTAGAGAACAATAGACGATTGAACTCGTTACACACATGAGGCACTGGACTTGGCCAGAATACGCGTGGATTTCTCCGGTCCTTGTGATCAGATGAATCAGCTATTCAACGAAGCTAGCCCCAAGCGTAACCAATGCGGCTCGCATTATCAAATGTCGAATTGGTGAGCGAACGCATGGCTCCTGTTATGTATAATAACATGCGGAACGTGTGTGCCACCGCTGGCTGGCAGTGCATAGATCTACCTAGTAACAGCGCGGTGATCCGGCAGCCCACACTCTTGTTCTTTACGCGGAAGTGAGCGCGTTCATTGAATGGCCCAGATGATACTATATGTCCAATATTGGCAAGAACAAAGGACATTGCTGCCATGGATCGGTGAAAACTATACCTTCTGAGTGTGTGCGGAAGGGGAATGTTGCGTCACGCGGGCCGAGGTGAAGACACAAGCTTAAATGGCACGTTTATTCAAGGAACTGGGAAAATGCTTCACATCGTAAAATCTATTGCCTGGGTACCTACTAGTCCGCTTGAGCAACGCGAGAGCTGAGGGTACAGTTTTCGGGTCCACAACAATACTGACGTTCCGAGTCATTCTACATGGCTAGTAAAACTGGTTCTCGAATTGGAACGTAGAACAAAAAATTCAACACCCTGAATTGTCCTTGACGTAATCATAAATGACAATCTGTCGTTAAAATGTTGAGAGGAGTAAAGCCGTGTGCACGTTAGCAATCGTGGGACGTCTCGAATAATCTTCATGCCAGCACTCTGTCATTAGCTTCCAAATTCCATCGTTAAGTCCGAACGAGTTCATTTCCCTTGTGCGTTCGGGTCGCTCTCCTCGGAGAATCATGTACTGGACCCTGTGATCTTGCTTAACCATATGAAATGGTATGTTAAGTGCAAAAATCTGGTCGGGTTCAATGGTGAAGAAGTCCAAATATTGCTCAGAAGGTTTGAGGGTGTCGTACCTCCACCATCACCATTGATAAAGCATATACGTCGGTTTCTCGAGTCAAAAATGCATGCTCGAGTCCAAAGCGCTCTGGATCGAGGAGTTCCGGTGCCGTCCATCTGGTCGTGCCTGCTTTCCGTGTTGTTTTCGAAGTGATGTTGACGGTGTCAGCGTTGTATATGACGGTAGAAAGGCCAAAATCTGCGAGACAAGCTAGCCCCGAGTTATCGACCAGGATGTTGGCCTGGCGTAGGAGAAAGTCTCAGTAACTTTCCCATGACTTATGTAATTATCCTCTGCGTACACTCTTCAAATCTCCGTGAATGACGTTCTGCGAGTGTAGGTAAGAAAGGCCGTCCACGATGTTGACGAGCTGTGATAACATCATAAAATTTAGTATCGTGTCTTGGACATGATCTTGTGGGTTCGACTGACCAGGGGCACTCGCTCTATGTCACGATGCTTGCTTAAGTACTGAGCTACGTCCCCATTTTCCATCCACGTGCTCACTAGCATAAATGAGACTGTACTCGTGCTGCTAACACCTAAAAACGGCGCGATGTTCCTATGACAAAGCTGCTTCCACAGAATGGCCTCTCTGCAAAATTGCTGCTCGTATGAGTCAGTACCTCAAAGCTATGTAGCGTGATCAAAACATACGTTGCGTATTATCTCATACTCTTCTGTACTGTGATAATAAACCCCTTTCAGTGCGACCTGCACACTCGAAGAGCCTACAGTGCGTAAGCCGCGCCACACGGCCCCAAAATTAGTTTTGGCTATAGGTTCTCCAAGCAATTCAATACTGTCCGGGGGCAGTTGGCAAGACGGGGGGAGGTAAGCATATTTGCGACAGAGACGCTGGAGAGTATTGCGAATAGAAATGGACATGCGCTCATCGATCCGGCCACGTTTATCTGTGTAGTCAAGTATCTGATGAAAAGTGTTTTCATTTGTGAGAATACTATACCGATGTATGCTTACATTATCCAAAGCTTTGATTATCGACCCCGCTGCAGTAGGTTCTAGATTCATGAGTGACGCCACGAGATCCTTGGAACGCATGATAGTCACAACCGCCTTGACAATTCCTCCAACTTCGTTTAAGTGGTACTTGGACAATCATTTGTCAGAGCAAGAGGTTGACATGCCAAGATGCAGGATTGTACATACCGGTTTTTCCAAGAAACGCCTGCTTGGAAGGCGATCTATCAAATCCTGAATCTCTGTAGAAATATCGCACCACGCTGCGAGGCTTTCAACGGGACCAAGACCAGACCATCTTGTGACTGCATCATGAAATTCTTTGTACCAACTATGGTCCTGGCGCGAAACAGCCTTATCGTTGATTAGTAATAGAGAAACAGCCTCGCTGGCATTTGGCAAATCTTGCTTAGTAGGGGGAAAGGTATAAAAAAGAAGGTGGGATAAGGTGGACTGTTCAAGCTATCATTGTACATGGGAATAATCGACGAATGGATGAATTGAGCTTACTTTGTGGACATATAAGCTCTTGATCATCCTACTGAGACTATCTTGTTGCCTAACCCAATATCCTGGTAAATACCAGGAACGAGCTTCAGGTCTCAGTGAGTATCCAGGGATGTCATCAGGACTCATGTTTTGTATAACTCCAACACTTTCCCGATCAACAGCAGAACAACCAGAGCCATGATCAACTGAATCAATAAATAGCACACGTGTCTAATAATAAGCGCACCTTTTCAAATGGTCATCGTTGTACATCACACAAATGAAGGATGAGATGGTTTAGGCTACAGCAGCCCACTGAATAACAGCTGTAGACGGGTCCGTACCGATTAGCAACCAAGTAGAATAGAACAGTATGCATTAAGACGATAAAAGGGCTGACGTGGAGAAGCTACAATGTACAGTTCGAAGATTTCCAGTCGTCAAGGAATAATTGAGCTCGTTCTTCGCCGAAGCTAGTGACTCTGCTTCAAGAGTTCGTATGTGAGTGGCAACGACACGAAGAGAGCGAATTATCCGAGTACTAGTGTCGCACACATGATACTGTGAGGTTATAATAAGGACCCCGAGCACAAGAGAACGGCAAAGAGACGAACGCCGCTTGGGAGATAGTCACATCAGTTACAATTGGTATCGGATGGCCCTCTTCAAGGTCCTATTCGAACGGCTTGAACTTACCATTTCGGGTCAGCTGACTTCTATCTCGGTATTAGAATTCTTTTAAGCTCGACCTTGAACTTATGTGACGCTCAAATGAGACGGCGGGTCATCGGCAGTGGCCGGACGGTGCTTGTATATTTGACCTTGTTTGGACATTGTGGGTCCACGTCCCGGATGATGACGATCAGCTTGGTCACTGTGTTCTTTTGTTCCGATATCCACTACTATCTCCGCGATTTCTCCCATTCGATCGCGAACGGCCAGTTCGCCCCCCAGGCCCATCAGCAAAGTGTATAGGTTGACAAGTGCCACATTTACAGACATTGTTTCACGCGTTTTGGTGATGCCTGACAACATAACTGTGGGATTTAGTTGTTCTCCTGTCAGCGTGCCATCCGTGTCGCAGGTTGAGTCTGAAGACAGAGCTTGAACTGCCAGTGGAAAGACCCCCGGCGATCTTACCGCTGAAAAATATCTGCGCGACCACCAGGAATGGTTGGAATAATGTGGCTACGTGTTCCGTCCTTGCTATGGACTTGATTTGAAGCTGTCTTAGGAAGGGACTAAGAAAGTATGATTCGTGTGCGAGGATACGGACGCCAATGATTAATATGTGAGTATATGTGAGTCTTCAGTGCATATGGCGGGAAGTGACAACTGCGAGACTAGCCGGCTCAGCATGCAACCATCCTGCCAGAATGACATCGGATCTAGGATAACACGCTGGTGACACTAAAGAAGATGTCAACAACCATTCCACAAGGTGTCACTATCCCTTTGAACGTGGGAGCTTCCACGAGGTTTCATGGGGGATGCACCACGCGTGTCGTATCAAGAGAAAATACGGAACGCGGACATTCCTATTCTGAGTATGAGGTCACAAAGCGTCCATGCGAATAAATACGTATTGCATAAACGGGGCCGAACTGGAGTCTCTCAATCGTAAAGAAATGTATTTATGGGGTGTCAGTGCGGATAGCCGGGTCGCCAGACATGGTGAGTGAGTTCGAATACCAATTCGATAACTTCTGGATGCGTCACATAACCGTGATCAGCTCGGAGTTGGAGCCCTGAATTATAATACATTCGCGCTTGAGGCCCATTACCAACATTTGGACATTCGAAGTGATCACGGCGGACCGAAGGCGTTGGTAGGTCCGTGGGTAGGGGATTGAATCAATGTTCTTGCTTTCATTGCTTCCTTATCTTGGAGGAAAATGCATGCGCGGGCCAGAATAGACTTCTCCGGTCCCTCTGACCAGCCAATCGTCGGTTTCCCTGCGCTAGCGGAAGTGGATATAGATGAAACAATGCTTTCTAGTCAAACCATGGAGCAGCTCGTCGCAGAAGGGGAGGAAAACTGGAAGAATGAACACGTCGACGATCACCAGGCTAATGAAGAAGTCCATGAAGATGAAGATGCTGC